TAGTTATTCATTTTAGACATGATACAGTATTGTTGATGCATGACGATTGAGCACCTTTTATTGTTTGATTTGTTAGTATTTAAAGAAAAGCCCAATTGTTTATCATAGTATTTATCACGGTGCATTGGAATATGTTATTGTTAAATTAGGAAAATGTTTACTAAATATTTTATCTCGTTAATTTAGAGTTACTACACTCTATGTGACACGTGTGCTTTGTATGTATTTTGCTAACCAGAACTTGATTAATTTGCAGAACTATGCATCGTGGGCGATTACTTGTTGGTATGGCAATAAAAACGAGCGGCGAAAACCAGGACAAAGAAAATGACAAACCTGTTAAAGAATGTGCACATCCCTCAAATTTATTACCTTCATTGTTGTCAAAATCGGACAAAAATGATAATAACTGTTTAATAAAAACTAGTTATAGTAATTTGTATCGGAATAGACTGCTATTTTTTATTTTGTAAGGACTTAGAAAATATTGTTAGTATTTATTTATTTTATTTATTTATTTAAACTTTATTGCCAAACATAAGCAAAGGGCGGACTTAATGCCATAGGCATTCTCTACCAGTCAACCAGTATGATTTTTGGAGACAAATAGTATCTAGAAAGACTGTTTAATTTTTGTTTGGTTTTGTTTTGGGATTATTATTCTGTTGATTATTTGATTAAGTTTACATTTGATGCTTCAACTACTTTATAAGAATAATTAGTGACAATCATTATGTGTCGGAAAAGACTGTTTTTTTTTATGTTTCGTAAGGACTTACTAAGTTTACTAAGTTTAAAAATAACTAAATATTTATTTTTATACTTGTATGTATCTAGGAACTGTTTTGTTTAAGAAACTTTATTTTGTAATCACTTATACAAAATATTTCACTATTTTGTATTATTTCAAACATTGTATGTTTTCTTCTAATTCAGTTTATTGCGAAATTATAATTGTTTCTTATAAAACTTTGTTTTTATATACTAATACCCTAACTCGGAGAAAATGTTCAAGTTATACGTAAATATAATACCAAAAACAATTCTTAAAATTGTTGTAACTCTAAAATGTATATTTAAACTATACCAAAAAAGCTATATTCAAATTGTAGTAACCCAAAATATTTCTAAAATAACTACACAACTAAAAATAATATTTCATTTTGAACAGTTTGTTCGATATTATACCGTATCAACTCAAAAAATGTGAATAACTATAGTCCCCGTAATTTTTAAAATTATTGGTATATATATAATTTCTTTAAATTCTGTAATAAAACAAATAAAGAATGAATTTTTTTATAATCTATAATAAAAAGTGAATAATCAGTTTTTCCTTGATTCTGAAAAACTATCAATTTTGAGTTACAACACTGTTGTAATATTAGTGCGATATATGCTGTTCTTAAACAACAAATGCTGAAAACACTACCAAAACTTTATAAGTTCTGATGAAGAATTAATTACACAGAAATAAATTATTTTTCCTTTCATGGTTTGTTGTTTGTTTGTTGCGATGTGTAGCTAGAAAACGAACTATTTTATAAGTCAGTGATATTAGGTAGCTTCAATAACAGGATAAGAACCCTTATAGAGCGAGGCCAGACTCGCGCTTGGCCAATTAGAGCAGCAGTTCTCAGGAAGAACATGTTTTTAGAAGTTTTTTAAGAAATCTTGAAAGCAATTGATACAGGTTTATTACAATGGAAGTATCGGAAATGAATAAAAAAACTGGAAGGTCAAGGGAAATAAATCTTTTGTTGTTTACTGTAAAATATTGTGTTACGATTCGACGTGACAAAAAAACAGGGAAAATTCATTTTATTTGGACAGTTACTTTACGATAAGTACTTAACCAGTCAATCATTTCCATCGATTTTTTTTCTCAATTCTAGTAAATTTTAAGTTTATGGTACTAAGAGATAAGTGAATATGATACGGTCGTTACTTAAAAAAACTCATGAAGAATTCTGTTCTATCATAAAATACTAACATTTTTGAAATACTTACTGCGGCCGACTTTTTATCCAAACACGCCAAAATGAGGGCCATTACTTTCTTATGTTTAATATTTTATCCGGATCTTGGTGCATGAGATACCTATAAACTGTTGACTAACGGTCCTCCTAGTGTTCCTCCATAGTCATCCTCTGTGTACGAAACTATCAATACTTACAATGTTCAAAAAAGTTGCTAATTGACCACTGGAATTATATTAATTAATATTGTAAATTATTCCTTCTTGGTATAGCTCCTATCTATACTATAAGGTCACGCAACGGATAAAATTATTTAAGAGCTTGAAACTAAAACATTCAAAACACCCTTACACATCATTAATTATAAAAGTACGCCACCATTGACGTGAATTTTTAGATAAACAGTGAATAAAAAATACTGGTAACATACTGCTATTTTTAGGATTACAAAAGCTTTGTCCTTTAAAAAATATGAAGTTCCTTTGTTTGAATGTACTATACCTACAAACGTCAATCGTTACTCGCATAATTCAGTATATTTAACAGTCATTAACGAAACAACAGAACCTAGTTTGTGGTTTATTGCTATGTAAGCAAAAATAATATAATACGTATGTTGTAGCTAACTACATATCATTCCGAAATAATTAGTCAAATATATGAATATCTTTATTAATAAACATAGTGGCATAATTTATTCAGTGTTCTGCCTTTCCACCTCTAAAAGTAATTTGAGTGCTGCGAACAAAAGACTGCGTAACTATTCCGAGCACAGGAATAAAGGAGAATACTGCGTAAATTTCATGCAAAATTACCCCAAATCCGGCGCAAAAGAAATCTGAGTTAGATTTTTGTACATTTTTAACAGTCTACATAAATGGATGTTCTCAGTTTAACCTGTATGTATGATTGTATGTCTGACCGCGATTACCTTAAAAACTACTGATCCGATTTGGATGGAAGTTTCGGTACATAAATACCTATTTATGCGTTAGGTAATTATGCGTACCTATTTATATACCGAATTATATGTTAAGTGCGATCTTCCTATCGACCTACGCGTGTAAAATATGCAACCAGTAGCGTATTCCGTAATACACTAAAAATGGAAAACTAAAATAATTAATAAAAAAATAGAACCGACTTTAAAAAATACTGAAAATTATAACGTACGTATTATTTCTTCGTCAGTTTAGGGTCGATTTTCGAAATTATTTTTTTATCAAAAGGGTATTTGTAAACTTGACAACAGAAAAGGACAGACTCATGTCAAGTTTACAAATAACACACGAATAGACCAGTAAAGTGCCGGCATAACACGTAAGGAAAGAGATTAAACGTCAAGTAACTAGTACACCAGTTGGTCATGTTTTATTTTTGAAGTATTCGCAACATTTATTTACATATAAAAATAACCAGATATGTGATTGATTTCATTGAAATGATGTATGCTGATGATTCTTATCCAAGAGGTTGTCATATTGAATTACATCTAAATTTTCGGATCATTTGTAAATAATAAACATTATCACGCCGCATTACTTGGCTACCAACAAGTGAAACGGATTCATTTGCGTCATTAGTAAATTGCATTAGAGAGGCCATTGAAACTGTTGTGTAAGATCACCTCTATCGTACTTCCAGTGACGATAACAACTGTTACGATACGTACTGAGAGAGCAGAATCATTAACAGATTACATTATTATTGATTTTCAATAAAAACATAATCTACTATCTGAAGAAAGAAAGCCTATGTAAAATTCTATAAACAATAGGTCGAACATAATGAGGAGCTGGCGAACAAAACGGTATAATTACGCATCTGGTCAAACGTACTTTTTTTTACAATCCGGAGCTTTTGGGCCCGTTGAATTTGAATCTCAAATATTTTTTAATCAAAACCGCATAAAACAGTGTTAAAATTACTAAATTCATAAATTATAAACCATGCCAAAAGCTCACTGGAGATGTGTCATTCTGTTTTAGACAGCTCCTGTAAAATTTCATTTTATGTAATTACATCGTTTTGTTCGCCAGCTCCTCAATTCTAGTTTGCGTTGCTAGACCTAGGCAATCTAGACATTGTGTACTGCTCAACTCAAAGGTTCACGTTTCACGTGACTATTCTAAATAGACTGTGGATAAAATTTTATGTGAATAACAAACGAATATGCGAAAAGAATGTCGTTGGAAAAAACGGGGGAGGGTTTAATGAAACCACGATTGATGCAAGTGAAACGTTTAAAGTGTTTTATTTCGCATATTTTATATGGATAGCAGACATTTAACTGAAAATTTTCGGAAAATTAATCAAAGTTGAGGTTACTTCGTCTTACAAAAAGTGGAAAATAAAAAGTCCCTTTTCGACTGGGAATAGAAACAGGGCGCCCATGTAGCAGGCGAGCTTTTTCTACCACTGGACCACCGTTGCTTGTTGATAGGGTTATATTTTTTTAATAACAATTAAAAATTACATGCGACATGCTAAAGATGAACTAAACAATTTGTGGCGATGTTATAAAAGTCTACGACTATAAAGTTTTCATAAATTACTTCTACTTCTATTAAAGCTTCACTATAAAACATAATTATTATGAAATTATTTGACTAAACGCATTCTGATATTAACCACCTGGAGATAGACAAAGGTAACCGAGCAGTATGAATAGTGACGGCATAGATAAGAATATCATGGTTAAGGCGACATCAAATAGCCGAGTATAGACTAAGATGATGTTTGGATTGTTGGTCTTCCCTGGTTGGTTGGCGACGAAGTTAGTAGTTGCGTGTTAATGACAATATAAAACAGCATTTTCCTTTGCAAAAATAAACCTTCCATCAAATAACACTAAGTTCAGCCGCTATACAAAGTTAGTTTTCAACTTAAAAAAACGTGAATGGGGTTACGTTCAAATTACATTGTTTTTAGTTCGGGCCATTAATCTTTCCCCTTTGGCCGTTTGTATCGAATAATTGTGCTGTATTTTGGTATTATTAAGTTTTTTATCGTCGTTTTCAGGCAAGGACGGCTCCAAGGTGACGACTGTGGTAGCGACGCCGGGCCAGGGCCCCGACCGGCCCCAGGAGGTCAGCTATGCCGACATGAAGCTGATCGGCAATGGCAGCTTCGGCGTCGTCTACCAAGCGAAGTTGTGCGACACCGGCGAGCTCATTGCCATCAAGAAGGTGCTTCAGGACAAGAGGTTTAAGGTTAGTGGTGGTTTTGTTGATGCCCAGTATGAAATTGTAAACAGTGCAGCTGATGGTGACTGTTGCGATTAAAGACGCGTAGTTAAATTTATTTATTTTATGATTTCAATGCAAGATCCATATATTTTACTAGAAAAATAATCTAATCGGCCCACATGGCTGGGTGTAACCAGTGCAATTGTTTTCTAGTAAAATTTTATTCGATTTTAATATGCGTAGTTAAGTGTACACAAGAAATTACTTCCCTACGACTTAACAAGATGCATTCGCCTTGAATTGATTTGCAATGTAATGTGTATATTATTAATCGTGCAGTTGTAATTTCTATCCTGGCTCTTCTTTGGTTGATGTTACAAACTAAATATTATATTTATAGAATAATATTTAATATTCACCAAAAATCATGTGTTCAAATCACAACATTGTAAAAAACTCTTTGTCCTATAATTGTTTACGTAATGATTTTAATTGCCTTTTATATGTGTTTTACAGAATCGTGAACTTCAGATCATGCGACGACTGGAACATTGTAATATTGTAAAATTGAAATACTTCTTTTACTCTAGTGGAGAAAAGGTAATTATCACTGATGAATATTATTATTTTAACATATGTGTATTTTATATATTTATTTCTATATTAATTTGTATATTGCGCTGTTCTTATTAAATGTGTTTATTTTACTTATTTAGTTTTGTTATTAAGGGTATGTTATCTGTGTGTTTTATTTGGGGGAGGCGGCAGCGCCCACGGGAGTGAGCTCACTATTAAACGCAATGCAGTCTCTTGAAGTCGCAGTATGTCAGAACCATTCAGATTGTTACGCTAGTGTGCTAACGCACATTTTAGGTCTACCGATGTATTGGCGATGGTTACCGAACAAGATCTTTGGGCACTGTATTTTTACATTAACAATTTAGTTGTGCTTTAGTTTTGCGTTAGCAAAGTATCGATCGGTAACCTCCGGAGCCAGTTCAAACAGTTGTGTGCATAATTGAGAACTCGTTGTTCACGTCACGTGTCATCTTCTTCTTTCTTTCATGTGCTCATGAGCTTAAGTTTCAGCCCCCCTGACCCTCAGTGTACCTCTCATTGTCATCTTCAAACGCATACAGGCATATGCAATTTTATCGGAGTTTTGTTGGCTTGCTTTTATTTTGTGTTTCTTTACCGAGATCGCTTTGTGCGTTTCATTTTGTTCTTAAATCATGTTCTTTGTTTTTATTACCTGCATATTTACATTATCTTGGTTGGTGCTTTTTAAAACAAAAAAAAAATAACTTGAAATGCTCTCCTGTAATATAGGTCAGTTAGGGTAGTTAGTAGAGCGTAAATGAATGATATCCTTTTGACGACAGACGCTCTGGTCAAACTGGACATGTCGTCATTTCAATAATTCTTGTAGACAGTTTCTAATGCATTTTCTATAGTAGTTCAAGGTCCAACTTACAGCCGTGGATAATTGTTACGATTCTTTAAACGCAAACGCCTAGAACCTTTGGTCGAGAGCCAAATGTATCTGTGGCTAAACTGAATATTTGCTACCTCCTCCCTACATACATACACAATTCAGTTATTCATTTAGCATCGGTTATTTTGCACTTTTTAATACAATTAGATTTTTTGCATTGCCTAAAAAATGTTTTTTTTTAGAACTGAGTGAGGTCTGATTGGATTTCTCATTTAACATTTTGTTTTATGGAACAGATACTGATTTTGCACTTGTGTTGGTATTTTGTTGATTTAACATCTAAGTATATATTTTAACATTTCTCTGTAATTTACAATTGAAAGTTGTACTTGTTATTATGACGTTATTATGTACATACACTGTTGGTAATCCTTTTTATATCGCTGATTAGTAACTTATGTGGCTTCAAGAGTTGCGGTTATATGTCAGTTTCATTTTGCAGAAGGACGAAGTGTACCTGAATTTGGTGCTGGAGTATATACCTGAGACTGTGTATAAAGTGGCACGTCACTACTCCAAAGATGAACAAACAATACCCATTAGTTTTATAAAGGCAAGTATATGGTTTCGCAGTTTTACACGCCTATATTGCGTAGAGGTGGCGCTGCCTTGCAGCTTAAGAAATATTAAAAGAAATAAGATACTGCTATTAAGGTCTCGGTAGCATAATTAGTTATACATCCGCCCGGATTGCGAAAGGTGCTGGTTCGAATCCTGGCTGAAACCTGGACGAGTGGTAATGTTTCGACGACTTCAAATTCTCTATCATTGGCATCCTGTGCTTAAAAAATGTCATCTATATTAAAGAAAAAAAATACACATGACTCTTTAAAGCCATTGAAATTTTGCTTAAGTACAACATATACTTATCACTGTAGATTTGCAGACAATGTATGCGTGCCTGCATCTCTTTAGGGCGTGGCAATGTTTGTCCAACTGTGGCCGCAAGACTCCAGGCATACTGTAAATAAAGGAATCGACGCTTTAAAATGTAAAACTCAAAAAATCGCGCTTTTCTACCCGTTCAAAAATGATTTTAATCAAATAAAATTTTACACTTTATTTTTCTTTGATGGAACCATGTGAAAGACGAATTTAACACTGTATTGTTAATTTTGCCAACAGCTATACATGTACCAGTTGTTCAGAAGTCTCGCGTACATCCATTCACTGGGCATCTGCCACCGGGACATCAAGCCACAGAACCTTTTGCTCGACCCGAAGACGGGCGTGCTCAAACTCTGCGACTTCGGCTCGGCGAAGCATTTAGTACGCGGCGAGCCCAACGTCTCCTACATATGCTCGCGGTATTATCGCGCGCCGGAACTCATTTTTGGCGCCATAGACTACACAACCAAAATAGGTATGTATAGTCAACCTCTTTTTGTTTGAAATCCTAAGGGTCGCCGCACATGGGCCACATGCGTCAGCCACAAACGCCGCCACTAGAACTTAGAAGCGGCTACAAAGGTAGCTAAAGCGCGCGAAGCTACTTGTGATCGGTGGTCGACACTTGACGTCGCGTCGGTGGCTGCTACTTTTTTTTAAAACATGCGTGCAGTATCATAATTGACACTGACGAAGAAGGTTTGAAGGTGGGAAATAGCGCGAGTGGCGTGTGGCGGCGTTTTGTATGGGTGCATTAGTGGCCGGTGCGGGCCACAAGAAGCGAGCAACGACGATTTGTAGCGTGTGGCAGTCATCGGCGTTAACCGTGTGCGGCGAGTCCATATAAAATGTATGAATGCTATAAGCAATATGCGGGTGGCGGCGTTTTGTGTGTTGTGGCCGGTAGCCCGTGTGAGGCGACACTTAAACTCACGGTAATATCGCGCGCCGGAACTCATTTTTGGCGCCATAGAGTACACAGGCGAAATAGGTACGTCTCTTTGTTGGAAATCCTTAGACCAGTTCGGCGAAGCATTTAGTACGCGGCGAGCCCAACGTCTCCTTTACACTACACAGCGAAAATAGTTATGTATAGTAAACATCTTTTTGTTTGAAGTCCTAAGACTCGCGCTCGGCGAAGTATTTAGTACGTGGCGAGCCCAACGTCTCATACATATGCTTGCGGTATTATCGTGCGCCGGAACAAATTTTTGGCGCTATAGACACAACCAAAATAAGTATGTATAGTAAAGTATTATTTTGTTTGAAAACTTTTTTTTATAATGCCATTTTACTATAGGTATATTTACCAGCTAAATTGTGTTCTATATATGGTAAACCTGAATAATGTTAGTCACTTCTTCATTTCCCCATGATATAAGATCGTAATTGAGTCAATCATTTGGCGTACCACAGTTCATGCAGTTCGGTTTTAGGCCATCCACATCGACCACAGTTTTACTTACTATCACAGAGATCTTTTACAAATTTTCTAGATGGATAGAAAGATCCGCATATAGATAGATATCGTGGACTGTGTTTCTTTTTATTTCCCACTTACATAAAGTTTAGTTAAATCCTCCGAAAATATTACTATGGTAAGATAACCACAGATAAAAAGATCAATTGTCAAGGATCCTGTATTTGCTTGCACCAGGAAAACTGTTTTGCCAAAACATTACAGAATACAACAGCCTCTAAAGATTTTATTTTGATTATTGCTTTACAAAAGACCAAAATCATATCAGTACTTTGATCCAAAACAAGTTAAGAATCAGTGCATTCTATTGATTGATATGCCCATGTAGCTGGTATTGTATGAACGAAACAGTAGTATAAGTAATATTTTGAGAATGTACACTGGGTTTAATGATAATAATTCACGGGGAGTTTTTGGCGAAAGCCTTCAAAAGCGATAATCAATCCCAATAAAGGAAGGTCACTTTAACCTATTGAGATTATGCGCAAACGACTTCCATCTTATCAGATGGTGGTGGTACTTAACTTATAGTCAAATTTGTTTGTCAGACTACCTAAAATATAGAAAAATCACGGGAGAAATTATGCAGTAAATAAAGTTTTCAAGACACTCTCATGATCTTTTAAGCGTGTTACGGAGACGTGGATTGATGCCAATGTGCAATCGATGCCCAAAAAAGGGGGCTACTCAGATCCGGCCAAAAGCTGCCATATCAGTATTGTGCATAGTTCGCGAAACAGAGGTTCAGACAGATGGTTATTAAGGTCCCAATAACTATCTGTCCATGATTAATGATACGGTTTAGATCAAAATATCAATGTTATGATTCCTTTTGGGCAATGTATACACACTATATTGGTATACAAACTGGTTGGAAAGAGAGCTGGAGAGCTAACAGAGCTTGAATATGTAGAAACTGAAAAATCACTAAAGAACCTGTCATTCAGTTCAACCGAGTTTCCACCCACCCACCAGGTCCACATTTCGAATAAGGCACCAAAAACTAGATTCAATGCAAAAGATATTATCGAGTGACGTTCTCAGCGGTAAACTCTGGTTGGGTTTGCGCTGGCAAAAACTTCGTTATTCCTTTCCTTTATTTCTCTTCAGTGCACAACACGTGCTTTACTGAGCAGTATCATAATGCTCATAATCGCTTTGAACTGAATTCAAAGTACTACATACTACACAAACAAACGGTTTTACCGTTTTGTCTACGAAAACTTGGAGGTTTCGTCGCTGGTCTCGGAAAAAAACGTCTGTCTGTCTGATTAACTAATTTATAAAGTGATAAACTATTCTGTGCTAGTTCATCAAATGCGATGCTGACCTTGAAGGAAGCAGTAAGCTCTTTATCAAAGGTTTTCGGGTCGTATTGGTCATTTGATATTCACCTTATAAATTATAAAAAGAAATACCATTACAGCAGCACAGCTACAAGCTTTTGTTAATATAAAATATAAAACCTGTTCATTACGTTGAAAATTTCTTGCACATTAATTGCCACACCATACCAGAGCATCCCATAACACAAGCCTTGCAGTGCTTATTTTTGGGCAAGGCTAGTTGGTGTGTGTTAGTTTTTTTTTCTTTTTTTTTATATTTCCAACTTTCACTACCTGTTAGCGTAGCCCCAAAGTAAGCACTGTAAGGCTTGTGTAATGGGATACTAGGGTAAAGGATAGAATACATATACTGTACATATATAAGTATATTTATATAGAAATACATATTAAATATCCATGACTGGAGTACATATAAATGCTCGTATTCATTACACAAACATCTGCCCCCACTGGGATTCGAACCCGGGACCCGAGTCTGCGACACCATGAAACTCGGCGTACAAACTACTCGGCCACGGAGGTTGTCGAATATTGATGTATTTATTTTGCCCACAGACGTATGGAGCGCGGGCTGTGTCGTAGCAGAGTTGTTATTGGGTCAACCCATCTTCCCTGGCGACTCGGGCGTCGATCAACTCGTTGAAATCATAAAGGTTAGTTCTTATTATTAAAAAGATAATACCCTTTCAAATAAAGAACATGAAATAATAATATTAAGTAACTAGCTGTCACAGCGAACTTCGTACCGCCATAAAAAAATAGGTGCTGGTGGTAGAAGGGTGAAAATTTTGGGTTGTATGTAAATACAATATCTGTATGTATACAAAAATTTGTATGAAGTATCATAACCTCGTAAGTCCCGTGTTTTTTTAACAGCAGTAGTCATATCTGACGGATGTACTATAGCAAGTACAAATCAAGAATAGTACTTCAGACCGAGACAAGAAAAAACGCTTATACGTAATTTTTGAAGTGAGGTCTTGTTGTCTGTATTTTTTACGATATGTTTATTATGTAAAGCACCTTTTTAAGAAGAAATTTATTGAAAATATTTTGTACTTGTGTGAGTACATTAGGTTTTTACACCGTGTAATAAAACAATGTAAAAAAAGTTAAAAAAATTATTTGGTATCGAAACAAAACATATTTTTCCTCTTAACATCATATTATTACAATGTAAACAATCTTCATTAAAAAAACAATTAAAAACTCAGCCTCAATGACAATATAGGCCATTATCTTATCTTAATCAGAGAATAACGGCATCACTATACCTGCTTATTAAATAAAATAGAAAACGCTGAAATTTGCAAACAATCTTCCTTACGTACTACTTATATGACATTATATAGCGAAATCACAGTCAAGTATAAGATCAAAATAAATGGTAATAGGCTATAATTTAACATTTTTGTCAACTGAACACGACAAAAAATAGTTTTTATTTTAATTTTCTAGGAGATGAACTTGTAATATAGACCGAACGTACCGCCACAAGTACAAATATTTATGTAACAAACACCTAACGTACCACGTCAAGTACATATTATTTTGACCGATCAGAAATCTCCTTAAAATTACAGTCATCTTTTAAATTTTGTTCATTTTAAAATATTCAGAATTTATATACACTAATTCATTTATAAAACAAAGAAAAAACAAATGATTTATTGGATATAAACAGATAATCTTACCTCGTGCTGGTCGTCGTCCCGACCGCTTAGCCATCTTGCGAAAAAGTGACACTGACACTGTCAGTTGACGTTACCTGTCAAACAGGGCGGAATCGACCATGGAATATAGAATGAGAATGACTGTGTCTGTGTTGCCGTTGTAAAAAAACTACCCGGTAAATGGGGAATTAAAAATTTGTACTTCGGCAAGTACATTAGGTACGCATTCCATATATGTAGTTAAAATATCAGGTCTGAACTACTATCCTTTATTTGTACTTATACAAGTACGCGGGGACTTACGAGGATAAAAAAAACAAAACATAAAAATTTTGTCCAAAAAAATTAAAGGTAAGGTAAAAAAAAATAAAAGACCCTTAATATTTAGGGGGATGAAAAATATATTTTGTCCGATTCCCATACCTACTGAATATACATGTAAAATTTCACGAAAATGGTCTAGCCGTTTCGGAGTAGTTTAATTACGCAACCGTGACACGAGAATTTTATATATTAGATAAACGTTCTTAATATTATTATTTCATGTTATTTGTGACTTTGCAAGTTCTTATTATAATTATGTTCTGTGCCAATCAAGTTTAAAAAGTCTCTTTGGGTATGAAGAATGAATGACAACCATTCATCATATATTTCTTCAGGTACAACAATCCTTTTCCCCTAGGATGAGCACCGTGATATGAATCATATCACGTTTTGTATCACGCTCCACTGTTAAAAACTTGGAAATTAGATAGATGAACGTCATAAGAACGTGATATTAAGATACTCTCTACTAATTTCATTAAACAAAGAGGACCTATCTTCCTTTCACTTTATACCTTACAATAAAACATTATTTTCCATTGCAGGTTCTAGGTACGCCAACACGAGAACAAATTCGAGAGATGAATCCAAACTACACAGAATTCAAATTTCCACAAATCAAGAGTCATCCTTGGGCTAAGGTAAATTTATAGCAAATAGAATATTTATTAAATAAAACTAGTTTTAACGGGCTAATGCACGAACTTTATTTAATGAGTGATGTGCGTGAAAACCTTAGAAACAAAGAATATTTATTATTACTGATATGAAAAAATATTGGTATTGTTTGCAAACTCTTCTGCACGACAAATTAAAGTGTAAATTTCTTGTGTTTTATGACCAAATAACGACATTTTATTAGAGTTTTTGTGTATTTACGTAAAAGTTAGTTTAGTATAACAGTCGTCATTATATGTAGCAAATTTTATTAATTACATAAAAAAATGCTATCCATTTTAATCATATTCTTTGGTATCTGAATTATATAAAAATGTGTTTGACTTTTATTAGTAAATACTAATCTAATATATATAAAAGATGTTTCCTAATAATGTTATTTATGAAATAATCTATAAAAAAATATTGCAACATTGAACAAACTTAATATTCAGATAATCAGTCTCAGTTTAGAGTTATCTTTTCTAAATGATGATAACTCAATGATGTTATGTCACTATCAGATCAAGAATCTTGATTTATATCTGATGCACTTAAAGTTTTGTTTTCAATATTTATATTCAGTTATTTAATTCGGATGATATAAAAACATAATATGGGTTTTTTTTACTATTTTCAGAATTTAATATATCTTATTTTATATAACTTTATTCAAATTGGATGTATAGTACAACTGATTTGAATCGTCCAATTTTTTCTTACCTACCACTCGTTATTCGACGTATTTTTTAGCTGCGGAGAAAAATGAATGAAAAAATTCCACAACATTAAAAGTATAATGTAACAACATTTACAAATCATTATGTTGTTACAGCGTCACTACAATCATGATTTATTTAATATAGAAAACCTGTTGGAATGTTTGGAACAGTTCAAACCCAAGCATTTTTGTCTGTAATATAATCAGACACTTTGTAATAAGCTTTTTTAATAAGTGCTTTTTTATACTATTTTGAATTGGTTCTTAAGTTTGACTAAAGACCTGCGTCGTTGCAGTACTTGTTGGAGCGAATGACCATGCCCAAGTGTGCCACTGACCACCAGCGCATCAGAGTAAGATACCAAGTGTCCGAACTAAATGCCTCTAAAAGTACAAAGATTAAAAACAACGTAAATTGGTGACGATTTCAAAAAATTTGACTTATTAGAGTTTTTTTCAATTTATGGCTTTGTACCTACATTCTGTACTGTATTTAAAATCTGTGAAGAATATATCTTCCGTTTGATAAAAACTCTTCAATAAGTTACAAGCGCGACTCGGCTGCTACTGTAAATCTATTTAAAATATGTAAATGCATCTTTCGTTTCACAAAAAATTCTTTAATAGGTTAGAAGCGCGACCTGGCTGCAAGCGTGGCAATTATGGCACGCTCTTTAAATATATATTTTTTTTATTTAATAAAGCTATTTTTGCCCCATTTCGTTTTTAGTATAGGAAACCTAACCTAAAAGTCCGATTGACTGGACAAGTATACTAAAGGAGCGGAGTAACGATCCTAGGGTTGTATTGTAGTTACTTCGGCCAATTAATTTCTTGTGTGACGCAGTTTTCCATGTAAGCAATTATTCAATAAGGAATGCGCTCCATTGACTAGTTAGTCTGATATTTTTGGATCAGTCTCTGAAGTCTGAGAGAGGGAGAGGACTCGGTATTCCTTAATACCTGTAATTATTCAACGATTTTTTGGAATATTTCGGAATATCTTCACTTTTAGATTCGCGTGTCATTACAATTATAAAATTGACGGACTAAAACGTCGTATATTCTTTATCCCGACGTTACGACCAGGTAACGTTTAAAGAAAATAAAAAAAAGACAAATTACTCATCCATCATAGTTTAATCGCAGTTTACCAGATTTTACTTACAGGTTTATTTTTAAAAACAATGTTGATTTGATATCACGTTAGATGTCTTCGTAGCATAGAAATGCAATGAGCCAGCACAATCCTTTTTGTCATAACAATCACAGACTACACGAGAGTCCCCTGAGTACATCCATTTAAGTTAATGAACACAATTTGATAGCAAGCACTAAATTCATCGACCAGATCCTTGAATGATGATTCCAATGTTACTGTTCAGAGCTGTGTATATCATACAAAATTCATAGAATTTTTTAAAGCAAATTTCAACATTTAACCTACTACAAATTTGTATTCAATAAGTGCGGGTCACATTGAAACGAAATTTGTATGCTTCCACGCACGTCGTTTTACTGGTAGAGAAGCGATCAATCGCACTGTGAACTAAGTATAAATATATGGTAGTGAAAAGAAGTGTGTTTTACTTTGCTCCTAATGGGAATTGCGCGTTTAATGTTGTTGATTATCATGTCCTTTTCGTTCCTTAGTAGCGTAGGCATAGATTACCACTATAAATAAATTTCAGTTTTAGTATCATTTCCTAAGAAACCCCTTTTTCTGATATCGTCATCATTATACATTTATCATGATTATTTCATCATTTATCATCAGCCTGGAGGTATTTAGTGACAGGACCCTTTGGCATGTATCACTGGCTAGAAATTACAATAATTGTTACAACTAATAATGGTGACCACCGTTTTTTTTTCCACTATAAAATTTACCGTTTGTTGGTGTTCAGTGTGCATTATGAAGGGTTGATTTTTACGTATACTCTTGTTATTGCTTTGTCAGATTTCTCACAAAACAGTTTTTTCTACAGCCTTCACATCAATTCACATTAAGTGTACTTAATTGTCAGCCATATTCAGTTTTGTATGACTATTAACAATTGTACATAATTGTTTCCTTTTAAGAATTGTTGTGCCCCGATTGCTAACATCATTTCAAGTGTGGAAGGGTTTGCTTTTTCAATTTATCAACATGCGAAGTTGCCTTTACTGTCGAGTGTTTACTGCTATTTATGTACGAAGTGTTGAAAACCCTAGTTTGATCTTAGATTCGTACACATAAGTCCAATTAAGAGAGTTTAAATTTGAAGAAGCGGTTAATAGTAGTTTGAAAATCCATTTTACCACAATACTTTGTGATATGATCTTACTGCTTTATCAAACTTGAGAAATCCTTAAGATTAAAATACGAAATGGCTCTTTGCCCCGTTGTTTTGAAAATTCCTGAAGAATTTTCAACATTAATCTGTAGTAAGGTTATCAAGGTCCATGGGGTACGGGAATAGTGTTCAAATAGAGACAGGTTGATGCGAGATGCACATCTCTCACACTATCTCATTTCGTTACGCTACCGCATAGACAGGCGCGGCCTGCGGCCGCAAGTTGTATTCGCTTGCAATGTAAGCGAGTGTTCAAACACAATCGATAAAAGCTGGCCGTGGCCGTAGGCCGCGTTTGTCTGTGAGACACTTAAGGGACTGGTCGCGGTTACAGGCTGCCTCTGTCTGTGAGATACTTACGACCACGCCAAAAGTCATAAGACGACCCACGATGAACAACTGTCAAAATGTCTTAAAAAGTATCATTTTCCATTTAATCATGTATTTCTAGCGGCCGCCCGCGACCTCGTACGCGTGGAGTTAGTTAGAAATAAAGGTTCACTGCTCGTTCCCCTTAGATGATAGCGTGATAGTTAACTATACAAGTAAAAACGACTAACACGAGTTAATACGTATTGCTTTTCTATTATTTCATTGATTTCCCAATTATTGTCGGGTAAAAACTACTGTATTGGTTAAGTATGAATTTATTATATACTAGCGGCTGCCCGCGACTTCGTACGCGTGGAGTTAGTTAGAAATAAAGGTTCACCGCTCGTTCCCCTTAGGTGATAGCGTGATAATATGTAGCCTATATGTTGACCCGACTTCTTAATAATACTCGTACCAAATTTGAAGTAAATCCATGCAATACTTTTTGAGTTTATCCCTAACATACATACAGACAAACAGACAAAAATTCTAAATATTATATTTTTGACTTCGGTTTCGATTGTAGATCACACCCCAAGTAGGTAGTCTTTTAAAAAACTGTTTAACGTGCAGTTTTGACTTTCCTGCCATTTTATTATATGCATAGATGATTAACTCTCCAAACTGTCATCTATATCCTTTTTGAGTTATACCTATGTTAAACAGCAGTACTTGACCACGCACGTACAGGTATTCCGCGCGTGCACGCCCCCGGACGCGATCTCGCTAGTGTCCCGGCTGTTGGAGTACACGCCGGGCGCGCGGCTGTCCCCGCTGCAGGCGTGCGCGCACAGTTTCTTCGACGAGCTGCGCGAGCCGGCCGCGCGCCTGCCCAACGGCCGCCCGCTCCCTCCGCTGTTCAACTTCACCGAGTACGAGCTCAGCATCCAGCCGTCGCTCAACGAGTTCCTGAAGCCGCGCGCCGCTGCCGCGCAGCCGACGGACGCGCCCGCGCCCGCGCCCTCCGCGCACGTGGAGCCGCACACGCCAACAGGTATACAACTATACATATCGGCTAGCGTCTTAAACGATGAACATAGATAAGGAAGCCTGCATGAAGCTCTACTGCGCAAGTTTATTGAAGTCAAACTTCTTTAGGTATGCTTGACTCGGGGGTAGGGTTACTATTTAAAAATTTGAAAAGTCTTGACAAAAAGCCGGACATTTAGATAAAAGTCCGGACATTTTAGGGGCCATCCATAAATTACGTCACACGTTAAGGGGGTGGGAGGGGGTCGACGAAGTGTGACATCGTGTGGGAGGGGCCCTAAATTTCGTGACTTCACATTTCAAATCTATTATAATGTAAGTGTTGAAACTATTACTTTACGAAAACATTAACAACCGAAACGAGAACAAAGTGGTGCTATGCCAGTTATAAATAATTTAAAGGAGTGGGTTCAATTCCATGGACTCATGACTCAATATTAATAATGATATGATAGTCCAGGCAACGAAAAGGTATAGAGGGAAATGCTTAGAACACAATTTTTGACTTCGTAACTTTGTTAGGACTAGTTAGGAGGTAAACATATCAAAAGTCCCCGCCCGTAGCCCTTAAGCCGGGGTGAAGGGGGGAAGGTCCCATTTTTAGGATTTTCGCATATATCTCGGAAACTATGCATCCTAGCGACATGAGACTTTGACAAAAGTGAAAGCTGATTAAAATTGCTACAAGTCTTATTCAGTCAAGTTTTTTGATATCTTGTATAGTTTTCGAGATATCCGCTCTTAAAAGTCAGTAATTATGGAAAAAAAATTTGCTTCACATTTTTGCTCTATTTGACCGGATAACTCTTCAACAATGCCGGCCGTAAGGTTGTTGGTTCCACCAGTGAGCAGCATGCAGATTTCGGACAAGTCCGCCAAAACAAGGATGGAGCTGACATTGCCAAGCTCACCGATTGGTTTGAGAAATTTCCTCCCTTCCCAGAGACCAGAGACATTATCAAGTCACCAGAAATCCAGAAAGCAGCAGCGGTCTTTTCACACCCTTTCTCCACCACCGCTCAAGTACAAAAGGCAGGTGAAACCTGCATCTTAAGGTCTCCAGGAGGAGCTCCAGCGAAAGAGATTTCCCTCAATGCCTACAGGTACAAGTCATTCTTGAAATCAGTGGCCACCATCAAGCCTGATATCTCTTGTCTTCCTCCCACCGAGGGAGCAGTAAAATAGCATTCCCAGGAAGTGGTGGCAATTTTTTTTTCCATAATTACAGACTTTAAAGAGCGGATATCTCGAAAACTATACAAGATATCAAAAAACTTGACTGAATAAGACTTGTAGCAAATTTAATCAGCTTTCACTTTTGTTAAAGTCTCATGTCGCTAGGATGCATAGTTTCCGAGATATATGCGAAAACCCTAAAAATGGGACCTTCAATCCCCCCCCCCCCCCCCCCTTCACCCCGGCTTAAGGGCTACGGGCGGGGACTTTTGATATGTTTACCGAAGTCAAAAATTGTGTTCCAAGCATTTCCCCTTTAACCTGTTTTTGAGCATTCGTTGCCTGGACTATGATATGTTTTTTTGATTTTTGATCCCCATGTAACGCGCCGTAACGATTTCCTGCCCCCCCCCCCCCCCCCCCCCCACTCATTAACCTTACGTAACACCCAACTGTACCCTTAGCATGAACTAATATCGAATTCGTAACGTTTGCGAGTGCTAAATATCAATGTCAATTTTTGTATGGAAACTTAAACAGCAGCGCAACGAATTCGATATTGGTTCGTGCTAAGGGTACAGGTCTTTAATTACCCAAATGTCACATCTGTGTTGCGCAAACTACCGGAATGTCGGTAAATTAATTTTGTATTGTTTTAATCTTGTTTGCGGTAGTAATTAATAATTAAAACAATCGATTTCTAGCAATATAGAATTTAATACCCTTGTTTTTTTTTATTAAATAAAAACCAATGTTACGTAACACGTTGATCGAAACCCCGTCCCGCACCTGTAACGCATCGTAACGTTTTACAAGACCCCCTCTCCCCCCCAAATTGCGATACGTAATACTTGAACGCCCCCTTAACTACCGCTATTTAAAGGTCAAGGTCACTGTAATGGATAGCGCACATTATGCTGGGCCGCAAAAGGTCGGGTCGTAGCACAAAAATCCGCTCAAATCGCTTGTAGATGTTTTATTTGAACTATCGCACACACTGCCGAGCCACAGCGAGCCGCATAATCGACCGATACGATGCGCCCTGACACAGTGTGCTTAGCAAGCGGATCGGAGAGTGCATACGATTACTCGGATGTCTGGCGGTACATTGTCCCCAAAATCCGTCAATGCGCTGCGACACGGCCCGTGACTAATGTACTAAATAAGCATTTTGCGAAGCGCTGCGGCCCAGCATAATATATACGTGATACTTAAGTGTCCAGTGCAGCACTCTCTGTACACTTTAGACCACGGGAAATTTACGGATTTGCGTAGAATACAGAATTATTATTATACAGAATTGGCGAAGAGCTCGATGGTGCAGGTAGTTAGCGCGTTCAGCATGTAATCGACTAAATTAAACAACTTTCGCTATGGTCGGTCATTGAATGGGTGACCAAAAACTTTTATCTCGATCTCATCTGTGCTTCGGAAGGCACGTAAAGACGGTTAGTCCCGGCTGCATCTGCAGTCGTTAGTACCCAGTAATCCGCGCTGGGGACTTGTGGGTCCCAGTCCAATCTGCCTATTCCATCTATAGGGAAGGCCTGTGCCCCAGCATGGGGACATTAATAGGCTGTGATGATGATGATGACGGAATTGGTGCAGAAAAGGCGAGATTTGCGAACCGTTGGCGGAGCTTTGGATTTCCACATGTGGTTGTGAACTTTGATCTATATACACCCTTGATACCGTATTAACTAAACGAAAGCGGCACAAAAAATATCTACTACATATGGTAGATATGGTCGTCGCTACACACGTACACATAGACTGCTATACTGAATCTGCCGTTAGAGTCACATTCACATTGCGCGAAACATAGCCCTTTTGTGTGGATCTATATCTATTTAGGCGTATATACACCGTGAATTTTAAGTCACCTGAGATACTAAAAACTTGTGTTAATAATAATAAAACACTTAAAAATAGTAAAAATACTACACCGCCATACAAAAATAATCGTGAATACTTACATCCTCACACTTCTCTACAATATATTGTTCCATCCTTTGTCCCCGCGCTATCTCAAAGAATGCTTCAATTAACTTCATAGCTCAAACACGTTATCTCTTAGGTCATCAGAAAATTTAACCCTAAAAATTCCTACTCATGACACAACCTTCTATGGTCGTTCTTTTGCCGTCCAAGCTGTTCGCTTGTGGAATTTGCTAAGACGAGCAAAATCTATTCATATTTTCAAAAATCTTGTTTTCAACCATTATTTGTAACTGCATTTATCTTTTTTTCTGACTGGACTAAACTTATATATGTGTAGTCTTATGTATGTATGTGTCATATATTTATATATCTTATAGTTATTACGATAAGATGATATTATTATGTGTATATATTATGTATCTATATATATATAGTTATATATATATTTTTTATAGCCCTTGTTTCTTTTAATAACACCACTGAGTTCAGTTACTTTCAATCCTCTCCATCAAAATTTGTCTGAAAGAAATCGCTTTTAGCGATAAGACCGCCCATTTAAAAACTATGTTTATACATAATGTATTTAAATACATTATGTTATGTTATATTCTTTATTGAAAACACCACAGTACAGTTACTGCAGTGTTTTCAATAAAGAATTGTGTATTGTATTATCTCTTATCTATTAGACAAGTCCATCCGTCCGTGGTGCTGTTTCAGCGGCCAAACCGTAAGAGATAGATAAAGAGAATGTTTAAGTTATAAGTTGAGAATAGTCTGATAAGACTACAAACCGGATGTGAGTAACGTAGCACTTCCGGGTTTCGAGAAATCACTTCAAACGAAACCACACAAAATCTCCGAAGTTCAATTAATTAAATACATTTTTTTTTTGGTGAACATTTGGTTCACTGGTTTGCTAGTATTGTGTATAATTTAAGTATTCTATCCGTTACCCTGGTATCCCATAACACAAGCCTACAGTGCTTACTTTATTAAAATACTAGCGGCCGCCCAAGAATTCGTACGCGTGGAGTTAGTTAGAAATAAAGGTTCACTGCTCGTTCCCCGTATGTGATAGCGTGGTAATATGTAGCCTATATGTTGACCCGACTTCTTAGTAATATTCGTGCCAAATTTGAAGTAAATCCATGCAGTACTATTTGAGTTTATCCCGGACATACATACAGACAAAAATTCGAAAAACTATATTTATGGCTTCGGTATCGATTATAGATCACACCCCAAGTATTCTTTAAAAAAATATTCAATGTACAGTTTTGACTTTCCTACCATTTTATTATATGTATAGTTATATACATTTTTTTATATCCCTTGTTCCTTTTAATGACACCACCGACTCCAGTTACTTTCAATACTCTCCATTCAAAGGTTGTCTGGGAGAAATGTCTGGCTTTTAGCGATTGAATCACTATGTTTAAACATAATGTATTTACCCCATTTATGCCAGTACATACATGGGCTGTGCTGTGGTGACACATCTGTGGTGTTATCAATAAAGAATTGTGTATTGTATTATATTGTGTATAACATATGTATTCTATCCGTTACCCTAGTATCCCATAACACAAGCCTACAGTGCTTACTTTATTAAAATATTATTATATTGATTTTGTTGCAGGCGAGAGCGGGGCGGCGGGCGGTGCCAGCGCAGGCGGCTCGGCGTCGTAGGCTCGCGGCGTCTCCCTGGCGATCGACACTCGCTCCTATGCTACTTAGTGATAGTCCTTTTTCGTGTTGGCCATCGGGTAAAATTAAATGCATAATAGGTGTTTTCGGCGAGTAATCGTGTGATAACGTAGTGTAATGAAAGCTTGAGCTGTCGTAGTCGGTGAGAAGGGTAAATCCGCCGTAGATTCTAAACCGTCGCGATGTGATTACTTTGTACTTTTGTAAAAGCTCGAATTGTCTCTTTATGTATATACCTTAAAATAAATTGAGTTCGTAATGACGCTCGTTCGGTAAACGACAGATTTTATTATAACGCCATCCGGATGGAATTTTTACTCGTTTTATTTTACCGTTGAGACGGAACGGCGTTCGCTCGCGTGCGAAGCTTTATCCGCGACGAAGAGACAGTTACGTTTGTTTCACTAGAATCACCTATGAGGGATAGCCACATGATACCCACTTTAATGGAGAGTATACTTGCTTGGGCCATGTAACCAGTAGGAAAGACATATTCAGTAGTGCATTAGCGTATTTCTTGTTGGTACGTATCACTAACTCATGAAACTTGTACGAAGCGTATTCCTAGCGTTGTTTCAACAATGAAAATTAGCAATGGAGAACATTTTTTTGCAATCATAGAGAGCATACTTGTAAATTTTTATAACTAGCATAAACTGATCTCTCAAGATAATTATAATATTAACGATATCTCAGAATATTATGTATAAACAATTCAGAGGATATAAATTTTTAGAATTACTACATTATAGAATATTGTATTTTTTGGCAACTTCTATGTTATGGAACATTTTTATTGCGATGTACCTTATTTTATCCAATGCTGGATAATTGTAATGTATTTTAATAGCACTGTCGGTGTCCTAATGTAACGACATAGTTTTTCGATAATATTGTATTCTATATTCAATAAATGATATTTCTATAATATAAAATTTGTCATTGAAAACACTATGGTTATTAGTAGTCATCTATGAGAAGAATGTTAAAGTAATGCTATAAATTTCATTGTCATAGTTTTAAGTATTGAAGTAATTTCATTTTGCACTTGTATTTGGCATACAATTACAAATTAGGCATCATTCAAGTGTAGAATAACGAAATCTTTGATTATGGTGTAGAACTAGCCTATTTTCATAATTTTCTTGGTGTAAAGTCCGATACCACTTGCACCATTTCGAGTACCGAGTAAGGCAGGCAGCTGAAGATGCTCTTGACCCAGCTAAGTCTCTGTTGTACTTTCAATTCCATGCAAGAGATGTTAATAATAAAGGGAATTTGAGTCTCTGTTATTATTTCGTAAATCGACATGAGATGTTTATGAACCGATAACAAAAGTGGAATTGTCGTCGAAAGTATACACTGACTTGCAGCAGAGACCCTGAGGCCTCTCATTTGGACCAAGTCATGCTTGCACATGTCTGGTTGCATATGACGTTAGTTTTATTATTACAAGTGACTCGCAGTTATGCCTTTTATAATCTTAACGCTGTAACTTTTAAACATCATATTTCGTAATTTTAATATTTCTTTTGATACTAGCATGCTTAGCGGGATAAGTTCCCGCCCGTACTTTACGCTGGGACCTTGAAATTTTCTAACACATAATTACTTGTGTATTACTTTATGTACCTACCTATGTACTTTTATAATTACTTATAAATTATTGTATCTTAAGAACGCGCTCGGCGCACCATTTTCAAATCACATAGTGGAGCTTAGATGTGGTCGTAATGGCTATTGATTTGCCGACACACCTTTTATAATTCGTGTAAATATAATTATTATATAATTATCTGTACGGTATGAGTCGAGTGGCGCGCGGGGGCGCGGGGTTCGTTGACCTCCGGCGAGCCCACCGCGAACTTGCTAAGGGACACGGTAGTTTAGATATGCATATTTTTATTAAGTCTATCTAATATGAATTTTGTAATCGACGTTGCTTCTTAAGACCCTCTGTGTAAAAAATTTAAGACATACTAGTGACCTGAATGTTTGAAGCGATGTTATTGAACGTCTCTATCCCACTGAATTCTCACTTTCACGATTTCGTGCACATTTACATGAGAATTTCCAATATGAAGTAACAATGCATAGTTCGAGATGGGGTTATGACATACAAATTATTTAAAGTGAAAGTTTTCTTATTACTATTACTGTAATATTGAATTTAATAGTGAGTGAAATTTGTATTTGTTTTAATTTTTGTTTTTACTGAATTTGAATACATCGTAACACCCATATCGTTGTTAGTTATGAATGAAAATAACATTATAAAAGTAAATATTAAATGAATAGTAAAATGGTTTTTTTATTTATTAGTTAGCTTTAGATAAATTTCGCTTAATTTTGCTATAAAGAACCATGCATGATTTAATTTTTCTAAATATAATCTGTACCATGCCTACAAGATTCATTAACCTAATGGTCAATTAATATTAGCGAAGAGTCGAAACGCATCGAAACGAATTTAAGAAACTACTGTTTATTTTGTTAAACATAGTTTACATCAAAGGAAAATATTATCACAGTGTGTGAAAATATAAGGAATCTGGGTAGAAGTAAAGGTTTATCAGAAAAATAAAAAATATATGTTGGTTAATTAATCCCGCGAATACGACTTACTACTTGGGGCATAAGCAGTATTCATGCGGGCTATTTAAACTTTACGGCTCTAGAGATAGGTCATTTCGCCAAGTTCTATCTATGGTTTAATCTATGGTTAAACTTTTCGATACAAAAGTAGGCTCTAACTATCACAAAAACGGCTTATAGTCCCGTGGGTAGCGCGCCCCGACGGGGCGTGCGGTGTTTGACCGTGCGATTTCACGATGTAAGGTTAGATTAAAACAAAAAGGGAAGATACGGTCCGCTCCGATAGAAAAGAATTAGAACTATTTAAATTAATCTTATTTCAGAATGTTTATGAATAAGTATATAAGACCTAATTGGAAAATTTTAGGTTCGTGGGTGTGGTATTGAAAACGCAGTAGCTGGTGCCCGCGACTTCATCTGTGTAGTAATAAGAATTTCTTTTCATACTTTCACTGTCATTCTCTAATTTACCTTTTCCTAGTTTTGTTTTTTCGACAAAAATAGCCTAAAGCCGTTTTCAAGGACCCATATCTATCCCTTAAGCAAAATTCATCATAATCGATTTACCGGGTAAGAGAGAAAGGGTAACAAAGCAGCAAATTCAAAACTGAGGTAAGGTAGAGCAGATTTCCTGCTCGAATGGGAGCGCCCGTCTGGGGAAGTAACCACCTTACGGAAGATTACAGTAAAATAAAACTGCCTTTTGGTGGTGCCTTGTTTCTGTCGATAAGTAGGGTTTCACTAGGTAGGGGTTTGGATGGGGTTTGATGCGCGTGATATTTTTTGTATCGCAAGCGTCTATAGTTTATGGTGGCTGCTTTCCATCAGGCAAACCATACCCTTGTTTGCCACTCCTATAACAAAAATATTGTACTCGCTTGTGTATTTTTATTAGGACAACTTTCATTGAGGAGCTCGAAGGCCCAGGTGGTAAGCGCGTTCGGCTGCGATCGTTGAACTTTCGCACTTTCGGTGATCAAAAATGTACTATTTCGAGCTCCTCCGTTCTTCGGAAGGCACGTTAAGCCGTTGGTCTCGGCTGTATCTGCAGTCGTAGCACCCACCAATCCGCACGGGGCCCGCGTGATGGATTTGATTTATTAAATCATAACGGTATATGAAATAAGATATTTAGAAAAAATCTAAATTCTTAGAAAAATATATGTACAGTTTGTCAATAGTTATGGAAAAAAGGACGCTACTGTCGGTTAGGCGTTTTGCAGAAGACGGGGCGGGGCGGGCATTTTGTCCGCGAAGCAATAAAAACCGCGTCTGCCCGCGCCGCGTACACAAAGCACACGACGGGCAGAGGCGGTCAGTTCAGGACGTTCGTTCTAGTGAATAGTCCATCACTAAAAAGCGCGTGGCGCGGACTGAGCTGACCGCCCCGCACCGCCGTCTGCGTTACTGCATATAAACTGGTTTGTATGATCCACGGCGGACAGCCGCGGACATGCCGCGCCGCCACTGCCCGCCGGGCACCACAGAGTACCTTATTATAGCCGGGCACCTGCGGCGCGGTCTTTTTGCCCTCTGTGCAGTGTTGCCAACTCGGATTTTGAAAAAGGCGTAGGCTCGATGACAAAATTACGTAGAATTAGTAAATTTTGGATATGAAAAGTACGTAGATCTACGTACTTTTTTCTTAGTGAAATGAAGAAGTTAGGTGAAACCGAATAAAATGAATGTTTTGTTATACAATTTGCTTAAGAACGGGAGATAGAACAAAGAGTTCTTGGAGAAGTCGCTGCATTGGAAGCATTTACCATGCTGTGGTAGACATTTACCATCAGACACAGACACTGGTGGGGGTTGATTCTGGATGGTTCTCTTAATTAAAAAACTAAATTTAACATCAGTCTCTCCTTTTCATTCTGTATAGAGAATGAAAAGGATTAACTGTTGTTAAATGGGCTAGTTGACACTTTTTGGAATTATGTTTTAAATTGTTAATAATCGTTCTATCAGATCGAAAAAAAATGTATTATACAAAAACGCTATTTAGTCTATAGACTTATCTATGCTATGACGTCAAAGCATTTGTAAACAAACACTCGCAAGCACGTAGGAAATAAACTGTCTAAGTTAATATTATGAAACCATGACTTCTAATAGATCACATGAAAAATATAGTAGTTATCATGATACACTTGGTAAAAGACTAGAAAAGTTGTGGTTTTAATTGCCAAGAGAAATAAACATACTCGTACTTACACATGAACATATGTTTAAAACTTGCTAAATCCTGTAACTTTATCGGCTGAAAGTCATTTCTTTTTGCAAAGATCAATTCGATGTGAGTAGGTACTCATTGATAATATTAAAAGTTTAAAAATTAAATTTTTAATGTTATGAATGTACCTAAGTCTAAGAGTTTTGTCGTTTCTGCTTTCACAAATCCTGCGTCCAGCATTAATTTCGTCAACAAAACCAATAACGGGAACCTTTTCTACAAGATACGAGAGTGTAAGATACATCTTTATAAGAAATAAACATTTGTATAGTTTTTAAGTAAAGTAATGGAAAATATTCTTCTCTATTCTAGTGAATTAAGTTATTTTACAAATTTGAAAAAAATTAAGAAAATACGTAGATTCTGGGACTGAAGTTAGTAGGTTTCCGGAAAAGGCCTAAAATACGTAGATCTACGTAAAAAGACGTAGAGTTGGCAACACTGCCTCTGTGTGCGTTTGTAATATAGGATTCACTTTGTGCTATCGTTCGCGGCGAAATTGACCGGCCCGCCCCGCCCCGTCGTCTGCAAAGCGCCTGGTTTCCCCGTTGTACATCGACTAAAACGCTTTGATATTTGTTAAAAAGTACTGTTCTATAATTATATATTTCATATTTGTTTCTTAGGGTTTCACGCACACCACTCATTAAATAAAACAAGTTTCAGCGGTATAGATACAGTGGTGTCAATTCTGGAGTGATTTTCTAAACTTAAAACTAAATTTAAGGTCAGTCTCACCCTTTCCTTCTGTATAGAGAAGGACAAGGATGCACTGTTGTCAAATTTAAGTTTAGCTTTAGAGAATCATGCCAGAATCGACATCATTGATTTATTTATTTATTGACGTTTCGCATCCTTTTCATTTCAATTAATTTCTATCATAATTCAGAAGACGCATCCTGAAAAGAATGCGAAACGTCATTATATAAATAAATCAGTGCATCTATACCGTCGAAACTTGTTTTATTTATAATATCCTAGTTTGTATCTTATCTCATCATCATTTAGGATTTATTTCTGAACCTGTCTGATACTTTGCTGGAATTAAAAAAATCTACTCAATTTTTTCTACTTAAAACTTTCTTTAGATTTATAAATCGAGCACATTAATGCTGAAAAATTAAACTATAGGTAATAAAATTATCAAAATTTGTCATGCTTGACTTCCGAGGGCCAGACTAGTAGACACTCAAGCCTCTTATGAGAGGCCTTTTGGACACATACTAAAGGTGGGAAATAAAAGAAAGATTGTTATTATAGTCAATATATTATTATTCAGATCCCAAATAATCTAATTAAAATGAATATACCTGCGTCGTCAAGTCACTGGTAGCTGCCTGTCTCATAGGAATAACTGGAACAGGAATCATCGTCATCTGCACAGTTTCACCCATAGGGGTATAATAAATAATAATAAATATATGCGACACTCACATCAATTAGCCTAGCCTCAAAGTAAGCACTATAAGGCTTGTGTTATGGGATGCTAGGGTAACGGATAGAATACATATACACACATCAAAAGTGTCTCGGGATCAAGCATTTTTATGCGGATTTCTTGAGATTGAGATGTGGCTTTGTAATAAATTTATGATTTTATAAATTTATATGGATCCTTTTTGGTGCATTTCATAATTTGAATCAGGAACTGTGAATCAAATTCGAGTAAAAGATGAAAATCAGCTGTCAATATTTTCTCTATAAAAACATACAACGCATTGAAGACATTATTAGTGCTACTGTTTCCCTACTACTGATTAAAACCAACGTTATTATGGAGCGGCGACGTCATTTAAGCAGGGAAGAAATGCTCAGAGCCGTGGGAATGATAGAAGCTGGTTCCCGGCAACGTACTGTGGCTTTAGCTCTGAATACAAGTCAGAGTGTTATCAGTCGACTTTGGACACGATACCGAAGCACTGGTACCGTGGCTGAGCGCCATGGAGGACGGTATCGCTGCACCACACGGAGACAAGACCGATACATTCAAATCTTAACTCGAAGAGCTCCAACAATAACCGCCATGATGTTAGCCGTGAGGCTTCATCACTCTTCAGGGAACTTAATTAGCGACCAAACAGTCAGAAACCGCTTGCATGAAGTGAACCTTCATTCCCGAAGACCGCTACGGGTACCACCTATAGCAATGCACAATCGTAGGATTTGATATCAATGGGCTCTTGAACACAGAAATTGGGCAGAAGAACAATGGCGTTTCGTGTGCTTTTCTGATGAGTCTCGTTTTGGTATGAGACCGGATACAAGACGTATACGACACTGGAGAACCCCTGGACGCCAACAGCGATTAAAATCCTGCCAGGAAGTCCATCCTTATAGTGGTGGAACCATCATGGTATGGGCGGGTATTTGGATCGGCGGAAGAACTGAGTTGATTTGGATCAGAGGCAACCTCAACGCTCAAATTTATGCTGAGACGATTGTATCATACGTCATCGTTCCTCTACAAGTGCAAATCGGTCCCTTATTTCAGTTAATGCATGATAATGCACGACCGCACACCGCAAGAGTTGTAAGACAGACTCTCGCCGCAGCTAACATCAATGTCCTGCCCTGGCCTGCTCAGTCGCCAGACTTGAACCCGATTGAGCATGCATGGGATATGCTACAGAGAAGAGCTCTGCCGAATATGGAGGGTATCCAGTCGCAAGAAGACCTTTTTTTGTTGTTGCAACGAACATGGGCGGCCATTCCACAGCGTGATTTGGATGAACTCATTTTGAGTATGCCAAACCGATGTTCTTGTGTTGTTAGTGTTCGCGGTAGAAATACGGATTATTAATTGTTTAAGTTACCCAATAAAATTTTAGAGAAAACTGTTATTTCAGTCTTTTTTTCGAACTTTTGTGTTAGTGGTTCAAATGTCAAAAATCCCTTTATTAGGAAAATGGCAAATTTCTTTATTAATGCAAAGGTGACTTGGTTTATCGTTACTGTGACAAACGAAAACACTTTATTTGATGAATCCTTAAAGAAAATTTTAATTAATATCAATCAGGAGAAAAGTTATTGCAAAAATATATGTTGATCCCTAGACACTTTTGATGTGTGTATATACTGTACATATATAGGTAAGTATATTTATATAAATACATATTAAACATACGTGACTGGAGTACAAATGCTCGTATTCATCACACAAACATCTGCCCCCACCGGGATTCGAACCCGAACAGCCATGAAACCCGGCGTACAAACCACTCGGCCACGGAGGTCGTCAAATAGAGACATAAATAAAGAGGTATAAGAATAGAGTGGGGAAGGCGGCTCTAAAAGTGTCCTTCTAGTAGAATGAGAAAGAAGATGAGAGACGGCTAGCTATCTCTCAATCTTGTGACTCATGGCATCCAATGGCATCACATCGAAATAGTAAGAATCTTACGGTTGCCTATGCGCATGCGCGATTAGAGAGAGAAAGCTGGCGGTCTCTCATCTTCTTTCTCTTTCTATTAGAGGGACACTTTCACTTGTAGTAGAGTCTATATCTCCCCTACTCTATTCTTATACCTCTATGGTTCCAAATTTTTTGTTTTCACTATTTGTCAGTAATTTAGCGTTGCCGGTACCAGCAAAACCATTAGTTCCTCAAACATTCTGTCATGACCTCATTGACAGACTGTAAAAAAGAGCTGACTTTGTATTTTCTCATTAATTTGTTGTCCATTTTTTGAAGTTATACTTCTTTAGGCGCGTTATGAAAAAATGATGAGAGTGAAATTTCAAGATGCGCGCGCATCACTGTAACACAAAAAATTAACAGCATGAAGTTGGTCGCTTTAGCTTCATGCTGTTACTTTTGTGTTTACCGCACATTAAGAAAATCTACCAACAAAATAGAAATAGAATCTCTATTATGTGGGTGCTAACGACTGCGTTGTGAAGGCCTATCAAAAGTATTTATTAATCTGGAACAACGGAACCAAAGCGCGATTCAGGAGACTACAGCGCCATCTCTTGACCATTGGTGTAGTAGAACCAAAAACCACATCTTTATTTTTTGTAATAAAGTAACAGTTATAGACATTCATATTTATAATATTTATCCACATGTTTCTAGTTTGTATATTCGGAATACGTGTTTGAGTTTCATACAAGTGCAAATCACATATGTTCTAATAAATTATATTCAGTAGCGATTTTAATTGAATATTTTGATTATTTATTTATTTTTTCAAATTAAAACTGAACTTTATTGACTGTGTCCTTTTCCAGACTTTTTATTAATTTATTGTAATTAATTATTTGCATGCAATTAAAAACTAATTTTAAACGATGCCAAAGAAGGATAACTTCTCTCGCGCCTACATAAGTACACGCACCCATTTTTATAATACATTGGTGCCGATTCTGACGTGATTCTCTAAGCTTAAAACTAAATTTAACATCAGTCTCTCCTTTTCATTCTGTATAGAGAATGACAAGGATATGTTGCTGTCAAATTTAAGTTTAGGTTTAGAGAATCATGCTAGAATCGACACCATTATATATTTATTAAACGTTATCTCGATGGAGTAGGTCAAAAGGTTTTCTAGCGTCCCTTTCATGGCATGAATATTTAATTTTTTATAGGTACCTTATTTCTATTAAATTTCCAATTATTGTTTTATAAAGCAATCAATAGATGATGGTTACAATTTAGAAAACATTATATGGCGTCCGACCCATATTAAATTCACATTACAATAAAACAATTGCAAACACGAGGCTGTACGGACTTAATATCATTTGACTTCGTGTGTGACAGTGACAGATGACATAGTTGACTGACAGAAGTTTATTGTGATAGTATTGTAATGAACATTTTTTCTTTTTACAATCTAATGTTCTAATTAAAAATGATAAAATAATAGCTCTGCCCATTAAATATCTAATATGCAATTATCAGCTTAGACAGTTACTTTTACATAACAGAATATCATAACTCTGATCTCAAGGACTAATAAACGTGAGCTGTGTTCACAACAACTTTCCAAATGAAAATCAATTAAATGTCGTGTAAATTTCCATAAACATGCATGAAGCTTATGAAGTATCTCATCTATTGACTCTGACGGTGCAGATTGAAGCTATCGCAGCCTACGGTAAGAAGTAAACTTATAGTTTTTCACCAGGGGGTGTTGTCTTTTTTTTATTATAGTTAAGTCTCCTACAAACAACGTTATTATTACCAATTGTGCTGGTTTTCGGTTTCTTTACTTTACAGTGGCATCGTCCCGTCGTAAAATAAGATTGGTGATATCTTTTTTGTTTGTAGTTTATTTAAACACGCTGCCTCCATACTTCTACAGCTGGGTCTTTAGTTATGTCAAAGTAGAAATGTGCAAGTGTTATGATTTTCAACAATAAAGTAAAGTGCTATTTCAGATGGAAATGTGTTATTGGGAACAAGGCAAGGTCATTTGTTGATGTACTCATTATCATCAAACAATGGGAATCAAAAGTATGAAGTACAGCTGCTTAGGTACTGTAAAAACTTCAGCAAGAAACCCATACAACAAATTGAAGTTATTCCAGGTAAAAATCTCTAATAAATAGTTTATTTCTTTTGTTTATTAACATTCAAAACCTAACCCAAACTCACAAACTAACAAACTTTACCTCTATCAAATTAGTATAGATGCAAAACCCCCATTGATGGTGATGATCTCACCAACAATACAGAATTTAAAATTGCAAAATTTAACAATTCCAAATATGTAAATAACTTATTAAAAATTGATTTTACAAAATTGAATTTAATATTTGTTGGTTTGTTTACTTTTTCAGAGGACAATTTGCTCCTGTGTCTAACAGATAATGTGTTGTCCACTTATGACATAAATGGAGTGAATTTTCCCATGGTGAAATCATTTGCTCAGACAAAAGGTGCTTCATTGTTTGCTCTAGATAATAAGGTGAGTGAGAAAACATAATTTTGCATCTGAAGATGTTTGATAGTTAAATTAATCATAGAAGCATTTTTTTTGTTAAGTTTAATTTAAAAATACATTATTATGTTACCTTTTTATGTCAATTTATCAAAGAAATAAACAAATTATGTATTTATTGGTATTACTGAGAAATATGTGGGTGAAAAAAATGAAATTGTGTCTTTTCACATATAACTATTAAAGTGATGTTGTGTCAACTTCTACGTACTCTTCTTGTTAATTTTAAAACTTTCTAGTCCACAACATCAATGACAGGAGAATCAAATTCTGTAGTACGCCTCTGTGTTGCTGTAAGAAGAAAACTTCAGTTGTACTATGGTAAAAATGGAGAATTCAAGCAGCACCTATTTGATTTCACTATTCCTGATGTACCTAAAGTGATGGCATGGGGTCAACAGTATATATGTGTAGGATTCAAGGCTGAATACACATTGTATGATGTAAGTGTATCAATCCAGAATTGGGAATGCTTTTCAATTGAAATATTTTATTCTACTTAACGAAGTCTAACAAATACATACTCACACCATACAATCAACATTGTATTTCATTCTTACAGTAAAGTGTTAAAATTGATTACAGCTCTCAACTGGCAAACCCAGAGAACTATTTCCTGCGAGCAGCTCCAAACCTCTTGAGCCAACAATAGCGAAATATTCTGAGACTTCCTTCCTTCTTGGTCGTGACAATACATCAGTTCTAGTTGAAGAAGATGTGGAAATAAAGCAAACTATAAAGTGGCTTGAGGCACCTTTAAGTGTAGGTGAGATTAAAAAATTTCAACCAAGGACCTAATTCCTAAATGAGGATGTAAAAGTTCTTTAGTTATTGTGTCTCCTTGTTAAAATTGTTTATGATTGTTTTTCAGTTTGGGATGAGCCTTTCATTTTAGGATTAATGCCTGAAGAGTTGAGGGTGCAAACTGTAGATCCTCCATTATTTATACAAACAATATCTGAGCTCAATAAAGCAAGACTGATGTACAGGTATGATCATGATATGTTACCATTACACTATCCTTTGTTAGCAAAATAATATTTATTTATTTATTGAATAGGTGCACAAATAAAGTTTTTATTTAACTTGTAAATTTTAAACATGTTGCTCAAAACTTATGATTAAATATTATTTATTGTAACTTCTATGAATAAGCATAAAAAACCGATACCAAACTAAGATATAGATAATTAATAAAATAAAAATATTTTGTTTTATTCTAGATGTAAACGGGGTTTGATATTTGTAGCATCTGTTGGTCAAGTGTGGTGTCTCAGTTCAGTTGATGTCACAAAACAGAGGCAACAGTTGCTAAAAGACAAGCAGTTTCAAATAGCGATTGATTTGATGGTAAGTAAACCTTAAGAACAATAAAGTTATTGTTTAAATCTAAAGAAAATATAACTAGAAAAAATTCCACGCGGACCAGGCAGCAGACGGGACTCGAACCCGCACCCTTCGCAATCCGGGCGAATGCACTGACCAATTATGCTACCGCGGCCCTCACGGACCGCGTCGAAATTCTTTCTAGCTATTCTTAAGCTGCAAGGCAGCGCCATCTCTTCGCATTATAGGTAAACCCACAATGTCAAATGAATACTCTTACAAGTATTAAACATTTGAAAGAAGAAATAGCAATTATAGTTATAATTTTTATTATTTTTAAAGCATGTAACTGCTTGATGTTTAAATCTAAAGAAAATATAACTAGAAAAAATTCCACGCGGACCAGGCAGCAGACGGGACTCGAACCCGCACCCTTCGCAATCCGGGCGAATGCACTGACCAATTATGCTACCGCGGCCCTCACGGACCGCGTCGAAATTCTTTCTAGCTATTCTTAAGCTGCAAGGCGTTTCTTTAGATCAGTGGTTCTCAAACTTTTTAAATGACGGAACCCTTTTGGGAAGCAAAATACTTGATGGAACCCTACAATAAAACAATTATTTTTATAAGTGTATTCTATATTAATCAGCATAATAAAAGTACAATGTATCCGTTACTAATTATTATTTACTTCACCACTTGGTAAGGACAATAATAGAAAACATTAAAAAAGAAAAAATCTAACTAGTGGGAGGTATGAAACTGTTTTTTATTTTTCATCAATTGCTTGATATCAGGTTTGATGGAAGAAAGTTGGAGTCTCATATCAGCTTCGGCGTCCAGTCTATTGCGATATTTTGTTTTCGTGGCTGCGTAGGTAGAGAATCCTGTTTCGCACAAATATGTAGTTGGGAACGGGAGAAGAATATCCAGAGCCATTTGGCCAAGCATTGCATATTCATCTTGGATTCTGCACCAAAAATCATTAAGAGGCGTCGTTTTGAACAATGACTCCATACTTGTGTCTGATGACATTTCTAAAAGAGATTCATATATCTCATTTGACATGTTTTCAGGCTTTTCCAAGTTGGGTAAAAAAGGATTATGAATCCAGGAGTTCACTTTAATTTTTGTATTGTGTTCTTCGGGAAAATACTTTTCAAAAGATGCGCGCATCGAACTGAGATATTGGACCAATTCTTCAAACACATTATCTTCAAACATTTCTGAGTCGTTTTCGCTAACAAACTCAGTGAGTAACGTAAAACTTTCTATTTCTTTCTTACCAATGCAAATGATCCAAAAATCTAATTTTCTTTTAAAAGTAGTTATTTTATTATAGGCCTGAAACACTGTTGTCTGTTTACCTTGCAATGATAAATTTAATTCGTTAAGTTTTTGAAAGATATCCGCCATAAAAGACAATCGGAACAACCAAGTTTTATCATACAAACGGTCCTTCAAATTAAAAGAAGTATCTGCTGAAAGAAACATTTGTAACTCGGCTCTAAGTTCAAATAGCCTTGTTAAAGTTTTTCCCCGAGACAGCCATCGCACTTCTGTATGGAGCAGCAGTGTTTTATGTTTGCTGCCATAATCTTCACACAATAATGAGAACAATCGGGATTGTAGTGGTCGTGATTTGATAAAATTAATTATTTTTACCGCTTCATCCATAACTAATTTTAGATTAGACGGCATTTGCTTCATCGCAAGTGCTTGTCTATGCAGAATACAATGACTGGAACTACAATTAGGCGCTTTATTTTTCATTCGTGACACTGCTCCTGCTGTTTTACCTGTCATCGCCTTGGCCCCATCTGTACAAATGTCAATGCAATTGTTCCAACTGAGATTATGTTCTTCAAAAAATATATTTATTTTATTAAAAATTTCTTCCCCGGTAGTGTTTGTAAGCAGCGATGAACACATAAGCATGTCTTCTTCAAAAGAACTTTTATATGGATATCTCACAATAACCAGCAGGATAGCCAAACCAGCGACATCAGTCGACTCGTCCATTTGCAAAGCGAATCGTGTATTTTGTAGACGTGTAACTAGTTCTTGTTTGACGTAGCTTGCCAGATCATGGATTCGTCGTGAAACAGTATCGTTTGATAGCGGAACAGTAGAAAGATGCTTTGCAGATTTTTCATCAAGCATACATTTTGTTATGTCTAATACACATGGTTTTATTAATTTCTCAGCGATAGTGTGCGCTTCACCTGCTTGTGCAATGCGATAGCTAACTAAGTATGATGCCTCCGTGGCCTTTTCGTTGGTAGTTTGTGTTACATGCATCATATTTTTTTGACTTTCTAATAACTGATCTTTTTTGCGAACAAAAAATTCTTTATTCTTGTCTTTAGTCTCGGGGTGTACGGTTTCTAAATGTCGACGCAATTTGGCAGGTGCCATGGAACTATTAGGAAGCAGTTTACTACAGAGCATGCAGAGAGGTGAGCCGTTGGAATCAACAAATCCGAAACTGATATAAGATTCATCATACTTCCTTTTTTTCGTCTTTGAAACCGTCGAGCTTGACGTCGTGGCACTCGTGGCATCATCTTCTGGATCGGTGATTGCTAAATTCTCCGCGCGCATTGCTTTTGAACATTCAGCGTCATTAGAAGATGTTGTTGGAACACGTTTAACACCTTTAAGCCAACGTTCCATTCTTCTTTATTTATAATGTTACAAGTCAGGATAGTGGGGTTTAAATAATGCACAATCGTTACTGCGTATAAGAGACTAAATTTAGAACCTACAGGGAAGAAATGTATAAAACTGAGACAACAGAATACAGCAGGCAGTAAAACAATGAACACCAGTTTCTCGCTAGCGAGCTTGTAAGTAGGTAGTAACTTATCGCTCCGAACGCTAATCATCAACTGACGACGCCAACGCGCGATCGCCGCTTTTATACTTAGTCCTAGACTCGATCTCAAATATTCTCGAAAATACTCGAGTCGGCACCTTTGATAAACAAAAAGCAAAAATAAAAACAGAAATTTAAAAATAGCGTTGTAAACAATATCGACTTTATCCTTTGAAGTTAGAGACGAAAGTCGCTAGTTGACAACTATAGCGTCTAATTCAGAGGCGGCTTTTATCAAAGAGACTGAGCGCTTACAAGTATACTACCCGCTCGTTTTAAGTTTGCCGCTGGCGATAGGTATGAGTGTATGACGTTCGAAATTTTTTATTTAATTGTAACAATAAAAATTGTGTACGTTAGATATTTGGGTAAAACTATGACACATTATAAGTTTTGTTGTCACGTGGGGGAGGGTACGCGCATTCCACAGACCGGCAAACTTAGAGCGAACGCGTTGTACAAGTATAAAATTGTTGAGACCAAACTTATGAGATATTGTACCAGCTAATGTAACACAAGCTTATACAAATACAAATAAATAAATAAATAACATTCATAGCGTTTTGTCTCCGCGCGGCCGCGGAGTCCGCACAGCCGCGGAGCGACCAGAGAGAGGTGTTTTGATTTTTTTATTTCTAAATTCTTGCGGAACCCCGACAGAGGTATCACGGAACCCTAGGGTTCCGCGGAACACACTTAGAGTATAGCTGCTTTAGATTTAAACATCAAGCAGTTACATGCTTTAAAAATAATAAAAATTATAACTATAATTGCTATTTCTTCTTTCAAATGTTTAATACTTGTAAGAGTATTCATTTGACATTGTGGGTTTACCTATAATGCGAAGAGATGGCGCTGCCTTGCAGCTTAAGAATAGCTAGAAAGAATTTCGACGCGGTCCGTGAGGGCCGCGGTAGCATAATTGGTCAGTGCATTCGCCCGGATTGCGAAGGGTGCGGGTTCGAGTCCCGTCTGCTGCCTGGTCCGCGTGGAATTTTTTCTAGTTATATTTTCTTTAGATTTAAACATCAAGCAGTTACATGCTTTAAAAATAATAAAAATTATAAAGTTATTGTTTTTTAGGGTTCAGTATTCAGCAAAGGATCCCTTATAATTTTTACAAGTCCATCTGTTTGTGTGCAGATTAGCTCAGAAAATATTAGCAGTTATTTGAAGGCTGTGATTTCGGATTGTATACACATATAAGTCTATCAACAAACTATAATAAAATAAAATTATGGAAAAAATATTTTTTGAGGGTACCCTACTCGTCCTAAATGCAAAGCGCGGATGTTTCTCGTTTGCCCCATGGTGGGAGTCGTCATTCGATAGGTCATTATAAGTATTCATACACGGGACTGCGTAAAGGTTAGCGCGTAAACTTAGAAGTTATCTCAACTGACATAATTATGTTAAACAACAATGAATTATTTCTTTGCCATAGCAAAATATTCATTTGAAAGTGTGTATGTGAAGCTGTCTATTTTGCTGACCTATATTGCAGTCTCTCCAGAGGTGCCAAGTGGACTACAGGTATATCGAAGTGTTAAAGTACCAAAACGCCACTATGTCGGTCCGAGTACAGAATCAGAGCTCTAATCCTATCCAACTACAGCGAGGGGTGAGACAAGGAGACATTATATCTCCGAAACTGTTCACTGCTGCGATGGAGGATATTTTTAAGCTTCTGGCCTGGAAAGGACTCGGCATTAACATTAACGGCGAGTACCTGACACACCTTCGATTTGCCGATGACGTAGTCCTAATGGCGGAGACCTTGGAAGACCTGAACACCATGCTCGAGCATCTCAGTGACGCATCCCAGCGAGTGGGTCTTAAGATGAACATGGGCAAGACGAAAATCATGTCCAACGCCCATGTTGCACCCGCTCCAGTTAATGTTGGGAAAGTTACACTTGAAGTTGTTGACCACTACGTTTACCTAGGACACACAATCCAGTTAGGTAAGTCCAACTTCGAGAAAGAGATCTCTCGTCGAATCCAACTCGGATGGGCAGCGTTCGGGAAGCTGCGGAACATCTTCGCGTCCAAAATACCTCAGTGCCTTAGGACGAAAGTCTTTAACCAGTGTGTGTTGCCAGTGATGACCTATGGCAGTGAGGCGTGGTCGTTTACTATGGGTCTCATAGTACGGCTCAAGGTCGCCCAGCAGGCAATGGAGAGAGCTATGCTTGGTGTTTCCCTGCGTGATAGAGTAAGAAATGACGAGATCCGTAGGAGAACTAAAGTCACCGACATAGCTCGAAGAATAGCCTAGCTGAAGTGGCAGTGGGCGGGACACATAGCGAGGAGAACCGATGGCCGTTGGGGCGGAAAGGTTCTCGAATGGCGACCGCGTGCCGGACGACGCTCAGTGGGAAGACCCGCTACAAGGTGGACCGACGATCTGGTGAAGGTCGCGGGAAAACGCTGGATGCGGGCAGCGCAGGACCGATCGTTGTGGAGATCCTTGGGGGAGGCCTATGTTCAGCAGTGGGCGTCGTACGGCTGATATGATGATGATATTAACCCTTAGGTGGGTCCCTAACTGTATGTATAAACAGTAACCTGTGGTATAACGATTGTTAGTCTAGTATTTTTTTTTGGGTCTGCAATCAGTTCTCTTTTTTTTCACCTATAAGCAGATTAGTTCTTAGTTTGAGTTGACGGGAAGAGCGTGACTCCATTGAGCCATCTATTTCTTTGAAAAGGTACGACTTGGTGAGGTGAATTATTAAAAAATGTCGTGTCTTTTTAGCCTTCTCGAATAACTTACTCTTCTACACGCCTCTTTTAAAGGATCCGGGGTTGTAGGGGGGAGGGAACACGTGAGCGGGCAATGCATTCCATTTGTGGATCGTGCGACAAAGAAATGAGTCACCAAATTTATTTGATCGCTTTGGAATAGTGGCTACAATAAGTCGGCGACAACGTGGGCCAGCGCGCGTAGTCTTCTCAAGGAAAGGGAGAGTAACTCGTCAAAACATCTCCGTGGTATAGACGATATAACACGCTTAGTGATGCCACAACTCGGCGCAATTGAAGAGATATCGAGGTGTTTAGTCACCTCTTCATCGCCTATGATGCTGGAGGCGCGTTGCTGCAACCTATCCAAAGCATCGAGCAATTACTTGGCGGAGCCATCTCAGACTTGTAGAACAGAGTAATTTTGATGCAAGTCGCCAGAACAATCTTTGACTTTTGTGTAATATAATAGGTTGGTGAAAAAGTCTTTTCGCATTATAGTATGTATTCATTTGTAAAACAATCTTTTCGGCTATACCATTTGTGTCTGGCTGGTTTTGGTATCATTAAAAAGTTTAAATTTTAAAGAAGATAATTCCAAATTTAAATTTGTTAAATATGTGATTTTCTATTGTTTTTCTTACTGTCAAGATGAGTGAATATAATGACCCCTCTACACTTCGACAGATGCATCTGCAGATGCCATCTGCGAATACGTCCTCCGACGTGTAGACGGGGTAGTTTTCGCGTCTGTGGTAGGTAGGTATTTAACGTCCGCAGATGCGTCTGCCATCAATCCGTTAATCACAATACATACAAGAGCAGTAGCGTAACTTAGCCGTTTTCTTGAAATAGATACCTACGACTGAGCAGAGCGCTATGGCTGGTACCTTCAAAATGTAAAACAGATTTTTATTGTATGTGTATAGTTTAAGGTTTAGGAATAAAACATATGTTAATTTAATTATCATGTTACGGAATCGAAACGGAGGCAGACGACGCGACGCAGCTAACTTAACTCGGCCAACGACTAGTCCCGGCGGCGTGGCGCGCGACGATTAAGTACTCGGCGGGTGCGAGCAATATTCCACACAGGACCGCACTTGCGTCTATTTCGCTTCACAACTGGTTTTGCCTGGCATTGAGACTACATAATACGGTCCCCTCAAAAATTTTCTTTCGTACAAACCTTGTCCTATATCACGAACATACATAGTTACATTATACCAAATCGTTCATGCTATTTTCAAGTGTAGAGAGATCTGTCATACATGTGGTATTTGATTTTTATTTTCCTGTGCTTGTATTTTCCTATCAGGATTGTTTATGAGTCATGAAATAAGCTTGGTTAATTATTGTATAGTTTTACCTCATATAAAGCATACCTTGTGGATACTTTAGTGCTTTGTAATGATTTAGATCCAGACAGTGTTTTTTAACTTTATTTTTATATATAAATATAAATATATATATAGTGCTTTCTAAGTGTTGTGTAAGTGAAGAACAGATAGAAAATAGTTTCAATAAATATTAACTTGTGTAATTAGTCAAATTAAATACCAAAGTATTTCAATAAGTTATAAAGAATAAAAATATCAACAGTACAGATTTGGCGTTGATATAAGGGAATAGTATTTTTGGTTCTTGTTTGTTATAATTTTATAATCTATGTTGTTGTTGTATGTTCTATAAATGTACGGGAAACCCACGGAATAATTTGTTTCTAGCTTATATAATTTGAAAACATCTAAAATATATGCTTCTGGGTTTACCATATCTGAGCTTGTTTTATTGTACAGTAATTATTATCGTTGTATTTTTAAAATCTCATTCGGAACTTTTAACCGATCTATCTGAACTGAGTTAATTTAACAAGTTAAAATAAAATCTAAAATGGAAACGTAACTCACTATTTATAAAGTTATCAATTCTATGTAGATATGGGAGGTTAACTCATTATTTTTTTATAATCATCTATAAGCTGTTACTTCATGTTCATTAAAATGCGCTCAGTTCAGTCAATATAGCTATCGGTATAGCTCCCATCAAATTTTTGGTTTGTTGTGCTGAATTAAATCATGTATCAGGGAAAGGTTAAAAAAAGACAAGCTCAGATAATTATCCTATTGAATGTAAGTAACTATTATATGTTAGAACTCGAATTTGATAGTGTTATTAAACTATCATAATATTAAAATTGGTTGGTGTTACAATTTCGTTACTATAATTTAAGTAAATGGACTTTTAAAAATAGCAGTATGCCGCGTTTAGTCAAAAATCCCAAAGGCACTATGGCTCTATTAGTTCAAGTAAGTACCTGAGCAGTAGAAAAGGAATGCTTGTTAAAGTGACGTACTGTCTATATAGTTTACCTTTATGAATTTACGACTTGCTCGTGTATGGATATTTCCGTAAAAAAGGCAAAACTCTACAGGTTCCGTGATCGCGAAACAAGATATATACGAAAAAGTTATACTATTATTATTAACAATTATTGTTTATAGCGTAGATCTTTTACAATATTATAGCATAATGTTATTTCTTGTTTTGTTTTTTTAGATTCTTACCAAAAAGAGCGTTCCCGTTAAAAAAAGAAAGTTATTTATTATTTATACCCATTTATTAAATATTTCTTTAAGTAACAAAAGCATTTATTTAGTTAAACTATGTATAAATTTTATAATGTTAAGTGCGAGCTCTCCTTATTTTACTTAGTACTAAAGAAAATAACACTTTAAATAATTTATTCTGATTAAATTCATTTAGAAATTTATTCCTATTATTCTATAATTATATTTACAGAAACTGTCAGATTGTTCAGAAGAAGAGAAGAAGAAGTCGATACGATCAATCCAAAGGTTGTACGCTTACGATCTCTTTGATCACGCATATTACTCTCAATCTATGAAGGAGTTTATCAAATTGAACACTGATCCAGCGGAGGTCATCGAACTTTTTCCAGACCTGAGCGGGAAATCTGAAGGTTCTAAGAATAAGAATAAACTAAAAGGCAAAGACTTGGAGAATGCCCTGAACGCGCTTATTGAGTATTTGGTTGACCTTCGGTCTATGATCGGACAGAACAAGTCTGAGGCAAGCACTAGTCAAGAACAGGGCAGTCAGAGAAATGTGCAGCAACAGTTGGAACTCATCGACACAACTCTATTGAAGTGCTATTTACAGGTGTGGTCTTATTCGATTCGTTGTTTTATAATAAATAAAAAAAAAATTTTCATTTTTGTGTGAAAGGTATATTATGTTATGATAAGTAAAACTCATGATAATATTACTAGAAAACATTGTCCTTTCTCAACTCCTTAAAAATACTAATGATAGATATTAGATTAATTTCATTCGAAATGCGTGTGGGCGTTCTTAGCCGCAACACCAAAATATTTTAAAATAAAATACTTACACTCGACTTAACTAATATGAATAAAGAATACTACGATTTTCAGACAAACGACGCTTTCGTAGCACCTCTATTGCGTTTAAACAACTGTCGTCTCGAAGAAGCGGAGAAGACTTTATTGCAGCACAGCAAGTATAGCGAGCTGATCATCCTCTACCAGACTAAAGGGCAGCACACTAAAGCATTGCAATTGCTCAGAGAACAGGCTCAACAACCGGATTCCAGTCTCAAGGGGTACAATAGGACTAAACACTACCTTCAAAACCTTGGTCAGTTTTTATATGTATAATGGTGTCGAACCTGGCGTGATTCTCTAAACTTAAAACTAAATTTAACATCAGTCTCTCCTTTTCATTCTGTATAGAGAACGACAAGGATACACTGTTGTCAAATTTAAGTTTAGCTTTAGAGAATCGTGCCAGAATCGACATCATTATGATAATAAAAATAAGTTTAATGATGCTGAAATTCATATTAAAACGTTTACAGCTATTAAAGATTTGTGCCAAAATTAAACGAAATCTTTGCTTAAGACGAACGTACTAGAATGGTTTTTAATTGTTTATATACCATATACTAAACATAAAGACTGTAGAAATACCCATACTATTCTCCAACATCCATGGTAGTTCTTTGGCACACTATCCTACCACATACATATTAGGTTGGGAAAAAAGGTTTCTTCGAATTTTATATGAAAATTCAAATCTTTTTTAATACAGTTTATTTACATTAAAGTAAAGTATGTAGGTGCCATTTTGTTCGATAAATTTTTGCCATCTTGTAGGGACATGATCCCATTGCTATAGAAATTTTGAATGCATTAACACACCTCCCAGCCAAACTCTTAATTTTTGCTGAGTGCCTAAAGATGTGCGAGGTCAAGCGTTATCATGATGAAAAACCACAGCCCTTCCGTTGATTAATTCCGGCCGCTTTCTCTCAACTTCTTGCTTTAATCTCATCAGTTGTTCGCAGTAGAGTTCAGAATCGATGGTCCTGCCTGGTGGTAACAGCTCATAATGAATAATGCCCTTCCAATCTTATCATACACATAGCATCTGGTGAAACCCGGGTTAACCCGTAACATGGTGATGTTACGGGTTAATCCGGGTTTCACCAGAGTCTGTGAAGTCTGACCAGCCTTTGACCACGACCCTTTTTCACACGTTCTTGTCGTACGTGATCCACTTTTCATCATCAGTTATCAGCTCCTTCAAAAAGTTTCGGTTTCATTACGTCGTAATAAATAATAATAAATTAGTACACGGTTTATAAAATTTTTTTCAGTGAGCTCGTGAGGCACAAATATTTGTGCATCTAATGTGTACCCAGCTTTTTCAAAAATGTTTTGTGGTCAATTCCCAGTTCTTAGCTACGTCGTAAATACTGATATGCCGATTTTGCTTCAGTTTTTCAAAAATGGCATTCATATTATTTGTAACAGGGCGACCAGAGCGACGTGCATCTTTGACATCAAAATTTCCAGATTGAAAACGCTTAAACCAATTTGAGCTACTCTCACAGACACTACACTAGGTCCATAAACATCACATTTTTTTTTCATGGCTTGCGTCTCATTTTTACCTTTTTTTGTAGTAAAATTTAAAAATTCAATTTCTTCATTAGAGAAAACCAAATGAAAATCACACATTTTTTATATTTGAAATTGGAATTATCTTCTTAAAAATTAAAACTTTTTAATGATACCAAAACCAGCTAGATACAAATGGTATAGCCAAAGAGATTTTATTACAAGTTCATACATACTTAATTGCGAAAACACTTTCCCCAGTCTATTATTATAACGTTCATACATTCTCATAATTATCTTAAATCTAATCATGTTGGTAGCTTTGTTCAAAATCGATTCATCAATTTCACCATTTTTATTACTAGTCGATTGTCACATGCTCAAATGGAAGCTTAAGAAAGATGCAAATAAATTATTTTTAATTAGATTTAAATCATGCATATGGTTAAAATCTTCACAAACTAAGTAACAGCTGTAGACTTGGCAACTATTGTCGTTTTACTAGAGTGACACAAAATTGTCACACCCAAAGTGGCGAATAGGGATCGTAACCGGCCAGATGCATTGTTCAAATGACTGCTTACAGGCGCCGAACACATAAATCTTATATTCAAATTCTCCGACTGGATATTGAAGGAGCACCCAGAGGAGGGTCTGAAGATATTCACCGAAGACATCGTAGAAGTCGAGAACTTGCCTCGTCCTAAAATACTAGACTTTTTGCTCAGAGAGCACGACAACCTAGTCATACCGTACCTCGAACATTTGATACACACGTGGAACGATACGAATTCACTGTTCCACGACGCTTTAATTAGTATGTACAGAGATAAGATCACTACCAAAAAGGCTGACATAACCGAAGAAGAGTACCAACATACGAAGTCGAAACTGGTTACGTTTTTAGAGAAATCTCCACATTACACCCCAGAGAGAGTGATACTGCATTTCCCTACTGACAGCCTCTTTGAAGAGAGGGCAGTTATATTGGGAAAGCTTGGCAGACACGAACAGGCTTTAGCGATATACATACAAATATTAGGTAAGTAAACCTAGACCATGCTAAGTCCAATGATATTAATTACCCTAGATACACCAACACGAACAAAATCGTGGCCAAAACCTGTCCAAAAGGTAGATTGAACGATCCACGGAGCTCTGTAAGATGATCGCGTAGTGAAAAACAATATAAGGCATTATTTAAACATTAAAAGCCACATTTAATGCATACTGTATAAGGTCTTAATTAAAACCCATGCGTCAAAGAGATACGACAGTTCGAAATGCAAGCTCGTAAAATTTTACGACTAATTGCTGTATGCGGAAGAATATAGACCTTATTTCTTCGTCTCTACTAGAGATGGGCGTTTTTAGATATTTGTGAAATCGATGCGCATCGGTATCAGATAAATCGCATCGGATCCGCGTACCGATGCCGGCATCGCATCGATGCCAAGTGAATGTCAGTATCGAATTATCACAAACTTTTAAGTGCCGGTGGCAAAAATGTGAACTGCAATTTATCCATAGCATTGTGACATTTTTATGACATATTTGTTCACCGCTAGCGACATCTTCACCGGCACAGATAAGTTTGTGGCACCGTTGCTATAGTAACGTTGACGAAAACTAGATGGTATCGGCATCCAATAATGACATCCAGTCGCATCGGATGCGCGCATCCAAACCCGGCATCGTTATCGCGCATCGTTATTCTAAAAACGCCCACCCCTAGTCTCTACCCGCAATTCTGAATGCGCTTTTAGCAAAATAGCAGTTACGGTGCCCGCGGGTGACTGTGAACCAAGAAATGCTTGAGTGGTGTTCAAGCACTTCTTGATTGGGACATATTTTGAGGGCAAGTGGTGAATCTCGGGTATTTAATAACGTTGGCTAAGTCACATAAAAGTAAGGTATCATTGGTCTGTATATTTTTTTGGTAATATATTTCTCCTTTTAAATATTTCTCGACCAGCCCCTCTAGCATGACCACTATCGGCATTAACTGTCAGACTACAGTGGGATTTGACACTAGTCTGACAGTTAATGCCGATATATCGCTTTATCATATCCCGTTTCGGTGGTCATGCTAGAGGGGCAGAGCCCTTTATGTTATAGCACTTATTTTTATTTCCAATCAGTTGCTGAATATTGATGGTAAGCTAACACTGTCTATAATATAGAGGCACATTTGTTCTAGCTCTAGTCATCTAGTGCCTATGCCATGTAAACAAAAATCTACTTATCAATATACATAATTTGCAAATGCAGGTGACGTAGAACGAGCGATAAAGTATTGCGAAAATGTTTGCGATAGCGGCAAAGATAAAAATCAAGATGTGTACGTTATATTGATGAGGACACTAATGAATCCTGACAAAAGTAACGCTTTAAGTGGACCGCTGGCTGATGTGCCGAGACATCCGAAAACAGCCGTTCCTGACTTAGAAACCGCTCTTTCTATATTGGAGAAACATGCCGATAAAATATCACCTCTAAAGGTATGTAAAGTCCAACAAGTAACTGCTATTATCGCTTGCACTGCATCTATTAAGATTTCCGGCAGACGCGATGTACATAGGAATCATAAAGCATTCATATTAGCATTCTGCCTTTTCTTTCGAAAATCCTGGAAAAAGTTGTTTATTTACAACTAATTAAATTTGTCGAAACAGGCAACATTTTGCCATCACTGCAATCCGGATTTCGTAAGGGCAGAAGTACCGCAACTGCTCTTCTAGATGTGGTCGACAATATACTCACGGAACAGGATGCTGGCCATGGCACAATACTCACCTTGTTAGACTTTTCTCGCGCCTTCGATTGCATAAATACGCAACTGCTACTGTCGAAACTTAAATATTACGGTTTATCACCACTCGCTGTCAAATGGTTCCACAGTTATCTCTCCGATCGGCGTCAGACGGTCAAACTAGTGAATGAGAATGGAAAATTTTCGTTTTCGAGTTCTGAGCCCGTTACGCGTGGAGTACCACAAGGCTCTATTCTTGGACCGCTGCTATTTATTATCTATTGTGCTGATCTCATCCACCAGATACACCACTGCAATTACCACTGTTACGCGGACGATATTCAACTTTATATTTCTGCTCGGCCTGAGAACATCCATGAGGCTGTTAAATTAATGAACCTCGATCTCGACGCAGTTGCAGATTGGGCCGAGCAGAATCATTTGAATCTCAACCATGCTAAATCTAAGTTTATGGTGATCGGTTCCAAAGCACAAGTACATAAAATTCACTTATTGAATCCTCAAGTTTCCATCTCAGGTAAAGTTCTCGAGCACGTTGTTGAGGCTCGAAATCTAGGTATCACTTTTGATGGTGAGCTGCGCTTCGAGTCGCATGCGTTGGAGCTGGTAAAAACTTGTATGTTTCGTTTGAGGGTGCTGTATAAGATTCGTAACTTGCTTTGCGAGAGCGTCCGGGTTACTCTATGTGAATTCCTAATACTCTCCAAATTGAATTATGGTGACGTAGTTATTGGACCGCGATTGCTTGCGAGAACTCAGCGTATGGTACAACGCGTTCAGAACGCTTGTTACAGATTCTGCTTCAATGTCCCTCCGCGTAGTCATATCTCTCCTTATTTAAATTCTGCATCTATACTTAACATGGAATCTCGCAGGCAGGTGCATCTCGCGTCTCTTGTGTTTGACATAATAAAGTATAAAACTCCGGAATACTTATTCAATAAACTTAAATTCTCGTTATACCAAGAGAATGCCCGAGTTACCCGTAAGCCTCTGGAGAGCACTATTCACAGAACTGCGGCTTTCCGTGGCAGCTTCCGCTTCCAGGCTACCAAATGTTGGAACGATTTGCCTCCACCTATGAGAAAACTGGCTTCCAAAGTCACTTTTAAAAAGCAGATAAAAATATACTTTTTAGAAATCCAAAAATTAGACATCCCCAAGTTTTATGTGTGGCAGGGCAGGTAGCCTTGTTTTCCAAACAGTTTCCGGATACTACTTTTGTATATACTTTAAATAAATCATGTGTAATTATAGTTATTATATATATGTATGATATCATCTAATTTTATCTCGCCAACAATCACTTCATTATTTGTCTCTATATTATAGTAAATATGTGTTTGTCTCCACTGCATTGTCATGGCTGTTTTCTCTTTCCTCCTTGCAAAATCTTTTAATATTTATTATTAATAAAGCTAGTCTACTCACTCATAAAGGTGATGGCTGAAAATCGGTATTTTGCCTTAAAACTGGCAAATGTTTAGCCGAGCCTTGGCCTTTTGCTTTCTGCAGCATACATATAGATATTTCATAACTGATTTCTTGTATCTTTTTTTTATTGTATTACTCTGTCTGTAAATGTATATGTATGTTGAAGAAAAAAAATAAACGCATTATCTATCTATCTATCTATCTATCTATCTATAAAACAGCTGTCCCGGACTTAAAAAACTTCTCTGACTATATTGGAGAAGTTTTCCGATTAAATATCACCTCTAAAGGTATGTAAAGTCCAACAAGTAAGTGTTATTATCGCTTGCACTGCATCTATTAAGATTTCCGGCAGACGCGACGTATCTAGGGATCGGAAAACAGCTGTTCCGGACTTAGAAACCGCTCTGGGTATATTGGAGAAACATGCCGATAAAATATCACCTCTAAAGGTATGTAAAGTCCAACAAGTAAGTGTTATTATCGCTTGCACTGCATCTATTAAGATTTCCGGCAGACGCGACGTATCTAGGGATCGGAAAACAGCTGTTCCGGACTTAGAAACCGCTCTGTGTATATTGGAGAAACATGCCGATAAAATATCACCTCTAAAGGTATGTAAAGTCCTACAAGTAAGTGATATTATCGCTTGCACTGCATCTATTAAGATTTCCGGTAGACGCGACGTATCTAGGGGTCGGAAAACAGCTGTTCCGGACTTAGAAACCGCTCTGCCTATATTGGAGAAACATGCCGATAAAATATTACTTCTAAAGGTATATAAAGTCCTACAAGTAAGCGCTATTATCGCTTGCACTGCATCTATCAAGATTTCCTGCAGACGCGATGTATCTAGGGATCAGAAAACAGCTGTCCCGGACTTAGAAACGGCTTTAACTATATTGGGGGAAAATAACCTCTGAAGGTATGTATAATCTAAATGGCAAAACATTAGAGAATATTGATAAATCTTTGTTGGTCCTTCGAGCCGGATTTTCTTAACACCGGATTTTCTTAATAGCATAAAATCGAAACAAGTAAGTGTGATCATATTGCTCACTTGCATCACTTGTGATTAAAACAGCTGCTCTAGACTTAGAAATTGCTCTGTCTATATTGCCGAAACATGCCGATAAAATATCGCCTTTAAAGTTACATGTAGTTCAATAGGCTATTTGACAGTATGAAAAAAAAACTACCAATTGTTGGCATCCGTATTTAATGTAACTTGTAAGCAACTATGTTACTATTCTGAAAGAACAAATAATAAATAACATTTCTATAAAATTATTAAATAGAAATGATTGTTTTACTCCATCGTCACGTCACGAAAATGCTTGGGATTGGCCAAGACTAAAACGACGTCACACGTTACTAAACTTCCGGGCAAAGTGACATTACAATTTATCGTTTGACGTTTTAATGACAGACGTGTGACGTCACACACTAGTGAGACGCCATGATGTCCAGAGAAACGTTTCCGCGGCAAGTTGAAAATTAAGTTTTTGATTTAGTTTTTTTTTAAAGAATTACACAACGGAATTATAAATATCTAATTTTTATGGACTCCATAAACATAAATTAATAATGTGAGATCTTAGTCTAAAACTTGTCAAACACCCTATTAGCTAGTGCGATAATCGCTTGATAAGTAACTATAACTGAAAATCAGTGTTATGTCCCAAAATTAATAAGATGGGGCAGTTTCAGTTTTTTTTTGTGTAGATTACCCTTAAAGTTTTGTTCAATAGTTTTTGATAAATACATAATTATATTTACCTTCTTTCTCAGGCTCTTTCAGTATTACCAGACTCCGTGCCGCTTAGTCGCCTCAAACATTTCTTAGAAAGCGCTTTAGAGAATCAACTGACACTCAAGCGACGCACCCAAGTTCTCAAGGGTTTATTGTACGCAGAACACATGCAGGTAAAATTATGTTTTTTTTTTATTACAATATTTCGAACCTTGTTTCATACAAAAGTATAAAATTATAAATAAAAAACACTAGTTAAAATTCTAATAAATTAATAATTCTTACGGCCGCACTCAGAGATTCTTTACGTTTCAGTTTTTTTTTCACCTTCTTTGCTTTTTTTACTTTTCTGTGTATGGCCGTGAGGCGATATTCGTTTGTTCTTGATCTCTTACCCCCCCCCCCCCCTCATTAATAAACGAGGAATAAGCTTAGACTAGTTACGCTGAGTTTTGTTCATATCACTCAAAAGCCATTTGTCATTCATTGAACAGAGACAAAACATGGAGTAACTAATCCAAGCTTATTCTTCGTTTATTATTAAGGGGGCTAAAGTTTAGATAAATAAATATTTCCAACACTCACACTAATTAGCCTGGCCCGAAAGCAAGCACTGTAAGGCTTGTGTTATGGGATGCTAGGGTAAGTATATTTATATAAAAATACACATTAAACATCAATGACTGGAGTACAAATCATAACACAATCATCTGCCCCCACCGGGATTCGAACTTGGGGCCTCGCGAGTCAGCGACACCATGAAACCCGGCGGCGTACAAACCACTCCGCCACGGGGGTCGTAGATTGATTCTATATATCATTGCAGATATACCTCAAGCAAGTTTCGCCTTAAAGTGGTAGTTACTATAAATTACCGATTTGGTTGCTTTTGGACATTCTACTTTATTGGGTGATGAATAGATTTTAAAATGTTCTTTTTCCCGTACACCAGGTGCAAGAACTGAAGCAAATCCACGAATCCAAAAGCGTAGTCATCAACGATTACAACGTCTGTCCGGTCTGCAAGAAACGTTTCGGAAACCAGAGCGCGTTCGTTCGTTACCCCAATGGAGATATATTACACTACTCATGCACTGCTAAAGTCAAGTTTTAGACTAGTCACACGAAAAAAGACTTTATTTGCACATTCATTACGTTTGCATTCTTATGGCAGGCATACTTAGATTAAAACAAAAAGGGAAGATACGGCACTCACGGAAAACAATGCCTTCGATGCTTTTATAAAGAACACAAATAGTTGAAAATGAAATAACAAGTGCCTTGGTAACACTTTTCATTCGTAAAACCGTAAAAACATTATTTTCTCAAAAATCACGATTTGTCGTGAATGTCATATACGTAATCGACATTTTGTTATCAAGAAAAGGACAAAAAAATACAGCTCTGCCGTGCGGACTACAGTTCATACTACATTTAGACTACAAACGGACAAGCATACAGTTCTGTCTCGCTCGCTCGATTGAATGTTTATTTACAAATGTGTGCGTGTGAGAGTTGCTTATGTAGTTGAGTCGGAGCATATTGTATTGCTAGTGTGAGCGTACCGTATTTTCCCGTTTTGTTTTAATCTAAGCAGGCATATAATATATGGAAAAGTGGTCGCGTAGTCTGCTATTGGGCTTAATTCTAGCATGATTTACTAAACATTGCAATATATTTAAATTTGGCAGCAGACTTCTTTTTTGTTTCCTTAGAGGTGTATTATTATTATTACTGTCAAATTTATTTTAACGAATAGGGAGTCAAGCCAGAATCGCAATATGAAGTATGCCCAAATGTTTCCTTGTTGTAGCTTATGACAAAAAGAATACCTACATATTTATAAAGCTCCACGCAAAATCGAACTATGTGTGTGTGTATATAAAAAAGAATTTAAGGTCTTAGTGAAAATACTTTTAAAATTGGATCCTTCAATTTAATAATGTAAAAATAATTAATTTTCCTATACCTAGGGTAATTGTATTTATTGCAATAGGGTATTTGACAGTATTAAAAATAAAGTGCCAATTGTTAGCATCTGTGTTTAGAATGAATATTGGCAGGGGTTTTTACTGTTTTTACAAAAATAATATTCATAATTTTACTAAAAACACACGAAAAAGAATAGTTTTCTTATCTATTGTCACGTGATCCAAAACGCTTGGGATTCGCGGAGCCTTAAATGACGTCACACGCAAGTAAACTTCCGGTTAAAGTGACATTACATTGTATCGTTTGACGTTTTAATAACAGTCGTGTGACGTAACACACTAGTAAGACGCCATATTGTCCAGAGAAACGTTTTCGCGGCAACTTGAAAATGGAGTTTTTGATTTGGTTATTTTTACTGAAATACGCAACAGAATGAAGATTATCCACTTTTTACGGACTCCATAAACATTAGTCAATAACGTGAGATTGTTTTCTAAAACTTGTCAAATACCCTATTAAGTGACTTATTTTAGTCAAGTTTGTACAGCGCTTTGTTACGATTTCACGTGTAAATTGCCAAACCGGTTTAAGATATACACATAGTTATCAGTATAGATTTCTAATACTTGGAAGGCGATAGTCTAATTTTTATCTCTTTCTTACTTGCGAAAACAACACAAAATTAAAGAAATGTGTCAATTTGATCTAAACCAAAAACTTTTGTTTGTTGCACCCTGTGTACCAGTTGCTCATCCGCGCTGGTATCAAAGAGCTTTCTATAAAAATAGTAGGTACTTATAGAAAATATAACTATTATAATTCTATATAAAGTTATAATTTTTTCAGGCTTCTTTTACAATTTTTTCTTATAAATATTTGTCGTTGCTTATTGTTGTATGCACACCATATTGTTTCCTATTGCAATATTAATTCTCCAAAGAAAACGACTGAAGCTTTACAACACAAGTAAAAAGCATTCACTTACAAATGTTCTAGATCGAAATGCAATGCCAGGGCAGAAATTCTATTGTATATGCAAGCAATTGTATATTTTAGTAGTATTTAGTATACCTTAAGACAAATGGAAATAAATTATTTAAGAATTTGTACAGAAAGCGTTTGTAACAATAACATATACAGTGTGATATTCTAAATTAAATGTACTCTGTTTATATTCCACTATGTTTTAAATAACTTTAATCAATGTATAAATAAACTTAATAGATTTTTATAAGCAAATAGTTGTTTGACATATTTATCCAATCATAAGATTTTACGGCTATATCATGGTCGTGGCTGTGTCAAATATATCCTTTAAGGCAGGGACGTATTTTCCAAGGGCCTAGAGGGCCAAGGCCCGGTGCGGCAGAAGTTATATAAAGGCATTCGGTACTGACCCATATTATAATTTGATTTCCTAATTCTAGGGGGGAGGGGCAGTTGCAAATCGTAAGTGGTCGGAGGCGACAGATTTTAAAATACGCCCCTGCTGCATGCAGCGCCAAACGAGTAGAATATTCATTTATTCCCTACCTTTTTTGTGAACTAGTTCTATTGCATATTTCACTGAAAACTGGTAGAATAGAAAAGGCTATATTGTATATACTCTACAGCAGGTTGTGAAGTCATGTCAGACTTTTACTAAAGACTTTGTCACTGTCTGTTTACCCAAATAAATTAAAATTAAAAAGAAAGACAACGGTTACCCGTTCTTACGAAGGCCATTTGACAGTATGAAAAATGATGTGCCAATTGTTGGCATCTGTATTTAATGTGATTATAAGCAGCGATTTTACTATTCTGAAAGAACAAATAATTAATAACTTTTTTAGTTAAATCATTAAATAGAAATATTTATTTGTTTTGTTGTTGCCAAGACTTAATTGACGTCACACCCTAGTAAATTTCCGGCCAAAGTGACATTACAGTGTATCGTTTGCCGTTTTACCGACAGTCGTGTGACGTCACATACTAGTGAGACTTCATAATTTCCAGAGAAAAGTTTTTGTGGCAACTTGAAAATTGAATTACACAGCAGAATTAAAAATATCCACTTTTTATTGACTCCATAAACATTAGTAAATAACGTAAGATCATTTTCTTAAACTTGTCAAATACCCTAGTTAGTAAGTCACGTCAAGGAAACAAAGTGTAAAATGCTACATCGCATATTTCACTGCCGGGTGTGAAGTCGTGTCAGACTCAGTGGCTAAAGAAAACTAGACGAAAATGCGTCATTGTATAGGTCACAGTCAGTTGTAAGTAAAGCCATGATAAAACATCAAAATAATGAAATTGCTGACAGGGAAAAGTCTTTGAAACGCGGGCTACTAAGCTCCAAAGTAAGCACTGTAAGGCTTGTGTTATTGGATACTAGGGCAACGGATTGAATACATATACAGTACCGATACATATATAAATATATTTATCTAGAAATTTATATAAACATCCATGACTTGTAGGACCCGGGGTCGTAAAAGGTAAAAAGTAAGTATGATGAATAGGAGCATTTGTACTTATATGAGTAGCACAACACACCTTGAAACCCGGCCTACGTACGGCCGGTACATACAATACCACTTGGCCACAGAGGTCGGCAAAAATACATCGACGTTTCCAGTTTGAACCCACTTCGCTTAGCATTGCGTTCGGTTTATTCGCACCCGGTGTAACCCGAGCTTTAGACGACTTCGGAAACAGTTGATCCGCACTTGGTCTGCGTGGTCGGTTAGTAAAGCCCGTTCTGTAGTTGATTCTGACCACGGAGAATGCCTGTCTGCCAGACCCGCAATGGCATTTTTGATCTCGCTCCTCACAAGCACATTGTCTTTTAGCATTTGTTAGATATAGGATTGTTAGGATGGAAACTATAGTAATAAGTTGCCAATCAATCGCTTAAAATTTAAAAATACCCTGCAGATCGATGAACTCTCTCACTCCAATATATCACCACGGGATAGAATATGCTGTACATTATATTTCTTTAATTTCATTTGAGATATTTTTTATTGGGTGTCGGTTGAGTGTTGATGATATGAAATCTCAATGGTATAATTAGACTGAAGTGAGTCTGGGAGTGAAACTCAACAGCAAACACCACACCACGTTTTGTTTTCAAAGCCGAACTATTCGATAGGTGTTTATTTTTAAGATGCTTGCTGAATAAAACAATGGTACTAAGGTAACTAATAACTATAACGAGCATTTAACTTCAAAATCGAACACGACTAATATGTATATGTATAAATTAGCTTTATCATTAATAGCCTAATGGAATAGGGAGATTGGGTCATAACCATCACACTCGTGAACTCCGGCCCAAAGCGCAATATTGGGCGTACAATATAACACCATAATTAAATATTTGTTGTGTCTTTTTTTATGCGATTTTTTTACAGCGAAGTTATTAAATGTTCCACATCTATCATCATGAGTCTTAAAACAATTTGAAGCTACTGACTCAGTAATGGATTCTCCAACATCTACTTACCTGTTTTCGAAATGTGAGTACGAGAAAATAAAATTGGTGTCAGAAAGTGTGAGAAAATCTCCCAGCATATCAATTTATTGAAAGAGAAATTCAACGGGTTCCAAATCTCAAGTTTCAGGGACAACACATGGTCTCTAAGATTATGTGTTTTAACGTACCTTAATTATTTTTGTAAGGTTATGCAAAATAACTGGTGTATACGAATAACATTTAGAACTGTCGAAGACCTAAAGAGTGACACGCGTCATTAATGAGATGAGGTGCCTGTTATATAAAAAAAGTGATGCAAAATAAGAAATACGGAAGTAAACCGAGGTCATTTAAACGATATATTTATATAACATATATACTATATAAACATTATATATTTATATAACATATACTAATAATAAAAAACTACATATTACGCAAAAGAGCTGGAGGCCATTCGCCTAACGGGATTGCTTTAGAAAACGCTATCGCTTACGATTTCATTTTGTTATTGCTGACCGCCGAAGGTTTTCAAATACCTCACGCTCATTTTCTTTAATATTGTTATTACCAATGCAAAAGAAAAAAAGAGCACGAGGCATTTGAAAACCTCAGGTGACTAGAAATAACAAAATGAAATAGTTAGCGATAGCGTTTTCCAAAGCAATCTCGTTAGGCGAATGGTCCCCTGGTTAGCTTTTAAAAAAAGAAAAAGAAATCTACATAACTACAAGAAATATCAAATATACCCGGTTTCTATTGAAAAACTCTTTACAAATATTAAGCAATATTAACTGTCGATGTCCCATCAGTTCGTTAAGCGATCGGCGGATGCGAGAACTCATTCTAACAGACTATTATATAATTGCTACACACTATAAGTACAAAGATCGTACACGACGTTGGCTGTAGGTGGTAAGCCCCAGGTGGCGTCACAGTTGTGATTTGCAGGTCATCGAACTTGTAAATATAGTGATCAAATTAGATCGTAGCTTTATTAGGTTTTATTAAGCTATGAATTGCTAGATTTTGAGAATAACTTAACAGACGGCGGTATGAGCTTTCATAAACTTTTTACGTTATCCTCCGTGGCTGAGTGGTATAGACATGACGTAAAGGTCCCGGGTCGGGTTTCAAGGATATTTTTATATTTATTGTCTAGTTGTGAATTGCACCGAATGTGGGTCCTGCCTAATGTGGAATTCGGCCGAAAACGAAGTTCGATAAAAGCTGCCGAACTTTCAGTGTATCTCTGATTTCTAGATAAATATACTTATACATATAAGTATCAGTTTATGTATTCCAATTACCTCTCATATAAGGAAACTAATCTCTCAAACGGTTATTTATACATACTTGTAGACTTATATAGATTTCCTATTAGCAATGTAAATAAATCAAATACCTTATAAGTACATTATACTGTAGTTTAGAATGATTTTAAGTGTAACTCCGAAAACACGCCGTAGCTAATTGTACATACAAGCAAAAAATGTGGAGAGTACCTTTGTAACATGTTGTCTAAGCTCACCAAATATATAAGAGATAGGTAAGATTTGTGTTCACTTATAAGCGGCACAAGAAGCGATAGGTAACGTATGACTAATGAGTTTCCGTTAATTTATCGGTTATGTGGACGCACCCGCAGCGTGACGCGGCGCGTGACGCAAGCGTAGTTAGAACGCGAGCCGTCGCACGGGCCGATCCAACGCGCGCCTCTGTGGCCCAATGGATAAGGCATCGGCCTCCTAAGCCGAGGATTGTGGGTTCGAGTCCCACCAGAGGTACTATCACCCCTTTTTGTGAAGTTAGTAATTCATTTAAAAGATGTCACTACCTTATTAATTCTAATTAGATTATCATCTACTCGTACAAGCTGGCAAACTTTGAGACGTTATTGTGATAAAGTTTTTTAACTCATATGATATCTTTATATAAAATTAATTATACGTTGCCAAAATACTTCTACATGTTTTATCCGAAAGATGTAAATTATGTCACGTTTATTCATTAATTTTGTACTTAAGCTTATTCATAAGCTTCAGCTTCAACTACTACATTTTTCGGATAAAACATGTAGGTACACGTATTTTGGCAAAGTATATTTAATTTTCTAGGAAATAGATTATTGGAATGGTGACTTAAGTTTTATATCTTAGTAATAAAGCTTATTCCGCAAAAAATAAGCACTTAAGTAGTAATAGTAATTACTTTTTTCTTTGTAATGTTTTTTACCATAAAATCTTGGTATTTGTCCTGGAAAATAGTGACTTTATATGTACATAGTTAGTTTGCAAAGTGTGTATTTTGTAGTATACCTAGCTAAAATTATAAGAACGGTCATAGATAAGACTTACTGTTTATGCGTAAGAAACTTTTGTGATAAATAATCTGATTACTTTGTTTTTCCGTCAAATACAAACTAAGGGTCATGTCCAATCGAAATTCGTTATACCTTCTATTTATATATTGCTATATTTAAGTACAAAAGGTTAGATCCATTTAACGATGAAAGTTAATAATAGTTCTTTACTTATGAAATTGCCGTTCTGTCGTACTGGCTATTTCAAAACCAATATTTTATTTTCGCTAAGAATTTTATGTTCCAAAAATTTTTATTTTTTTATTATGAAATTCTTTTTTGAAAACAGGCATTTGTTAAATTGTAAGCGTTCTATTTTGAGCGTAGCGCATTTTCACGATTTTCGTCATTATGGACACGTTAAAAAATCGAGTGATAATGGAGAATGAGTACTGTCGTGGCAGCAAAGCGGCAGAAGCGGCACACAACATCAACGACGTACACTTCTAACGATCGCACCACCAGTTTTTGGTTTGCCCGCTTCTGTTCTCGAAATTACGTCTTAAGAATGTCAATTTAATGAATATCGACAATGACGAAATAAAGGCGATTGTGAAAGCAGATGATTCTCAATCTACAGCTAAATAAGTAGCAGCTTTCGATGTTAACACGAAAACAATATTTTAGGCTTTTTCACCTTGCTATTTGTGTTAAATTGGCAAGGTAAAAAAACTTTAAAAATGAGTGCCCCACGAATTGAATGATCGCCAGCACTAAGTACGCGTCGAGTCGAGCCTTGCACTGCTCAACAGGCACACAAACGAAGGCATATGGAATCGCATTGTTACTTGCGACGGAAAATGGATTCTGTTCGACAATCGCAAGCGCTCAGCAAGTTGGTTAGATCCTGGTTCAGCACCTAAACAATGCCCAAACGAAAACTGATCCATAAAAAATTGATGGTCACTGTTTGGCGGTATAGCGCAGGTGTCATTCATCACAGCTTCTTCCCAAACGGGATGAGCATTACTGCAGATGTGTACTGTGAAGAACTGAACACAATGATGGAGAAATTCGCACATCTCCAACACCAGCTTTGGTCAATCGTTTGGTTCCGCTGCTCCTGCACGACAACGCGCGATCTCATACTTCACAGCAGACGGTCTCTAAGTTAAAAGAGCTGCGGTTGGAAGTTCTCCGTTATCCACCGTACTTACCAGACCTTGCTCCTACTGACTTCTACTTTTTCCAGAATTTGGATAACTTCTTAGCATGGGAAAAATTCAATAACCCAGAGGCAGTTCAAAATGCCTTTGAAGAATTTGTTGCCTCCCGTCCAGCAAGCAGACTTTTACAAAATGGGCATCAATAAGCTACCACTAAGTTGAAAAAATGCATTGATTGCATAGGTAATTACTATGATCAATAAAAATAAAAAATTTAGGAAAAAAGATCATTAACTTATTTCATGAGAAACGGTAATTACATAAGTACCTAATATCTTTTGCTTGGACAAAAATAAAGTAAGATAAAGTACCTACTTTCCTGTAGTACATTGTGAGTACCTGAGGCGAAAATTAATCACTCCTTCACGAGGTATTTTATGGAATTGATAACTTTTGCTCGTGTTAAACAATCTCTAGTTCGAATATAAAGAAAAGCTGGGAACGTAAACCTCCCACTTGTATTTTACGTTTACTACTTGTAGTTTGCGTTTACTTGTATTTAATTATCTATAGGTAGATATCTACGGTATGAAAAATTTCCTACTTACAAATTTTAATTAAGAATATAACAAGTAACTATGTGTATGATAAGGTATAAAATAGACTAGTTATTATTAATTAAAAATAATTATTAAATTAGAGTACTCTTGGATAAAATTTATTTCTAAATATTTTCCCGCGCTAGGGTGCTTTTCTTTCCAAGAACACTGTTTTGGTTCACCAATCGACCTTAGAGCAAATGAACACTACTTTCCAAGTGTGTGAAACTGCATTATGAAAAGAGATTAATATATTTAAACATATGACGGTACCTATGTACCGCGCTTACGAAACTTTATTTGATAAAAACCACCCTAGCTACCATTCCGTTATTTGTTACTAATCAAAGTTTTCATGTCCAACACCTGTCATTCCAGAATTTTCAAACATAATACCGCACCGTGCCTCGCACTGTGACAGTGGCACATTTACGCGTACGCGTACATATACAGTATAACATCTGACATAGATATAAATATTATCTGTGCTATCTGCAATATTGCCGTGGTTAGGTGCGACGGCTGGCTAGAGTTTTATAAAAGTCCCGTATCGCAGGGGAAAGCTTGCTGATAATATGATAACGATACAATTTTATTGATAACGCCCGATGAGGCATCGATCAGTCGATAGGATCGCATGCAGTTCTATTGTGGCTTCGCACTAAATAATATCTATCGAGTAATAATTATCATTATAGACTGGCTGGATTAATCGGTACAGATTTGGAGCAATAAAGATTGATTGGTGTTTTGACTGATTGTCAGGTCTTATTGGGATTGATGTTTGTGCGTCAGTGAGAGGGTGCAGTAAAGTGTAGGATGAGAATGATGGGTGAGCACGAGATGGGGTATGGTGACTACTACAACTATGACGGCAGCTGGTCGGTCGCGCCCGCGGAGTACGCCGATCCTGGCTACCAGATACGGCAGCAGCAGATGGAAGAGGACTACAGATACAACTCTTATGCGTAAGTCCTTTTAACTATAACTGCAATTAGAACTTCCAATTTGATGTTTTATTGTGAAAATTGTCCAATATTTACTTATGTCATGCACTTTACTGGGACTGGACAACAAGCACTGTTTTTACCGACTGCTGAGGATAGTCACCTCAATCTTACAGAAGACAACAGTAAAATTATATTAACTTTTGATGGTGATTTTTTTCCAAAGTTCGAGGAGATATAATTTACTATTCTGAAAAAAAAATGGTATCCTCCCGAAAACCTGTAGAAAATGTAGAAAAATCTGAGCATAAAAGTTAATAAATAAAAAAAAGACAGAAAATAACAGCTCAGGAGAAATTAAATTCAAACCTTTTTTGACGGCCTGAAATAACCATAGCAGATGCTAAGCTAAGAATGAGTAGACGCTGGAGTATAGACATATTTAGATTTACTACGTAATTTTGTACACAATTGCCTTACCTCGCAGGTGGAAGTGATAATCACCGAGCTATTTACTGAATTATTACTGCTTTATTATAACGCCACTAGGGTACTTGTCCTGGAAAGCATCGGTGGATATGCAATTTGCTCTTTAGTAACACACTGTATATCATGTATATGTCAAAAAAGTGAGCGAATAGACCGGATGAACCCCAATTCCATACACTGATATTTTTAATCTCAGCATAAGCAATACCGACTGCAGGCTTCTGTTATATGTAAGATATGTCTGATTCGGTTGAAATCCGCTACTTATACATTACTTCTATAAACATCTAAATAGTAATGTTTTCGTGTAACTTCTTTAGCATAAATAGAGAAAATTATACAGAAAAAAAGTCAGATCTTATTTTTCTTTGAGTGAGGAAATTCATATTGCCTCCCTAAGTACTTACCTGAAATGTTACTTTTTGTATTGTTTGTTAACAAAAATCTAAGGTGACAGATGAAAAACACTGAAAATCTCAATGATAACTTATTTAACACTGTTTTCTTGTCCATATCTTGATAAAAAGAAGGATTAATAATATTGTCCCACGAAAACATTGGCTTCAATCGTTGCATTTAAAAATGTTAGTCTTAATTCATGATGGTGGCGAATAAAATCAAATTATTAATCAGTGTTATTCATTTCTATATCCTACATAAATAATACATATAGATAGGTATAAATATTTTTATCCACACCACCTTGGATTTGAAGTAAAAATTAAAACTTTCGAATGGCGGTATTGTGATAGAATGACTTGTTAAAACTTTGCCGTTAAATATACACAGACATTGAGTTCCACCACCGCGTTTTATAAATAGTAGGCTGGCTAAGGCAGGGAAGCGGGCGTTGCGTGTTCCGCTCTTATAGCCGCGATTGAGTGCCATCGAGCCATCCCAGCTGCGAGCTCTCCCATGCCTTCGTGAAGCCCTTAATTGGTTTGGAAACCCTCTTCGCGAGTTAGCGTGCTTCCACCCATTTGGACTCGACTGCGCCTAACCAGATTGCCATAACGAAACATTCGTGAAAACCCCATCGTATGCTCCTCTTTCCCATCAGGCGCTGCGTCGAGTCGCGTTGTGAAACTACTTGGCTCGCAGTAAATTCAATGCTACGAGGTGCTGAGTGACGTGTGTGCGTTAGTCATCTGTTTTGTTTTCTCTATCTAATCTAGGTCACGAATGCGGTGTTAGGGTGGCCCATTATTACTGAAATCACAGTCCCTTTTTCAAGGTGTTTATAAAAGGCCCACCGATCCCGATATTAATAGATTACGATAGTGCCTAAGTTAGAGCTTGCAATACTTGAAGTAACTATATCGCAGTCGTGTTGATTTCCTATTTACTAAATACGTTAGAGCATATTGTAGTTTTTTTTTATTCAGTAGTTATCTAGACGGGTGCGTCAAATATAACAGAAAATCACTGTGCCCTACCTACCTCTCTTAAGTAAAAGTTTCCGTGTAATTTGCCGAGAACGACGACGGTACTGTGAGAGGTAATGGCAGTTTGTTTGGTCATAGGGTAGTTTTTTCTCGCGGTTGCCGGCGCTTGGTACGGATAGCGCGGTTCCTCAATATAATATTCTACTTTTACACAAATTACATTCCTATCGTGCTCGCTATCAGGGCCATTATTTTATCATTAACCATGGCGAATCCTAAACGATGTTGTCTTTTCGTTTCTCTAGCACGTAACGACCTTTTTATTTAGAAAACCGTGAAATTAAAGATTTTTAAACGTTCATACAAGACAATAAGTGAGTTTGTTTCAGTTTACTGATAAAACATAAGGAAAGGTAATAAAACGAAACCGCCTGTTTCGTTCGACAGTTATGATTTGTTTATCGCAATTCCATTAAACTGTTATGAAGAAAATATTAAGCGGGAGTTGTACCAAAGAGCAAGTTAAAGTTAAAGGAGATTGCTCAGCTTCCATACATGTTTGGCCTAAAGACCAATAATCATGAAAAATTGTTTCCTAGATTTGAAATTATATATAAATTACTGTAGAAACGAATATTATTGACGGACACCCCTGACAACTTCTATAAAACATATACACTGAATGATTTTGAGGTTGTTTGAAAATAGGTACATAGATATTAAAATAATAAAAAACAAATAACTAACGAAATTATGTATTACGTATATAAAGCATGTAAATTAATAGATAGTTGCCTGTTTTTAAAGTTAATGCATAAGAGTAACTTTTAAAATCAGGTATCATCTAAGCATTTCCGGTTATAATAAGGTACTCTGTGACAGAAAATGTGTGTTATTTGTGAATGAGTCACAGATTAGAGAGATTTTTTTAAACTCTCGTTAACTAAAGAAAGCTTATTATTTTTGTTATGTTTATATTATAACCATATTTTAGATTTTGAGTGTATCACACCTTATAATGTGTTTATGGAGGTGTTTGGCGAAAAATGTATGGCAATAGTCTTTATGATGTCGCCTACCATCTATAATATTTGTCTTAGGACATTTGCATGTAGTAAAAATGATAATATACTTGTGGATATTAATACCACAGTGTAATAAAAAAAATGTTTTATTTTATCGACCTTTACATAATAATTGTTTTGATGATAAACAACTTCGATCACTCTTTGGCTGAATGTTACTACTACTAGTACTACTTACTACCATTAAAAATGATTCGTATGTTTTCCAAACCGGTAAAAATATAAGTCATTTTTAAAATGAATATATTACACAAAGGTGTCCGTTAAAATCTAATGAATGTAAAATAAACTATAAATTACGCCAAGAATTACCGTATATGTCAATATTTTTGGTACGTTTGGGGCAATTTGCGCAATCTCCTTTTACAATAACTTTAACTGGCCTCGCTTGGACAGTTAATTGTGTCACTGTCAAATTATAACCTCATTTTGACTATCGTCAAATGGTGCAACCCATTTTTTACCTAACCTGTACTTTAACTGTACCCTTAGCACTAACCAATATCGAATTCTAATAGTTTGTGAGTGAGAAATGTCATTGTCAAATTTTTTATGGAAACTTGAACAGTAGAAATTAAAAAAAAATGGGTCCGTGTAGGCACTTATGTAGGCGCGTGAGAAGTTATCCTTCTTTGGCATCGTTTAAAATTAGTTTTTAATTGCATGCAAATAATTAATTACAATAAATTAATAAAAAGTCTGGAAAAGGACACAGTCAATAAAGTTCAGTTTTAATTTGAAAAAATAAATAAATTATCAAAATATTCAATTAAAATCGCTACTGAATATAATTTATTAGAACATATGTGATTTGCACTTGTATGAAATTCAAACACGTATTCCGAATATACAAACTAGAAACATGTGGATAAATATTATAAATATGAATACCTATAACTGTTACTTTATTACAAAAAATGAAGATGTGGTTTTTGGTTCTACTACACCAATGGTCAAGAGATGGCGCTGTAGTCTCCTGAATCGCGCTTTGGTTCCGTTGTTCCAGATTAATAAATACTTTTGATAGGCCTTCACAATGCAGTCGTTAGCACCCACTAAATAGAGATTCTATTTCTATTTCGTTGGTAGATTTTCTTAATGTGCGGTAAACAAAAAAGTAACGCATGAAGTTGGTCGCTAAAGCGACCAACTTCATGCTGTTAAAATTTTGTGTTACAGTGATGCGCGCGCATCTTAAAATTTCACTCTCATCATTTTTTCATAACGCGCCTAAAGAAGTATAACTTCAAAAAAAAAAACAACTGACGTAACGAGAACTAAAAATCGTACACATTTGGCAATGACATTTCGTACAGAACAGTAAAAGTTAAAGTAAGTTGATGCAACCCACGATAAAAGTTTAGCACAACTTATTTGGATTTAAAATTGAGAAAATTATGTAGTAGCTCTTTCCACTTTCACATAATAATAAAAATATAAATGATTTTTATTAGACGTTTAGATAAGTTCGAAGCAACATAATTTAATTGTTCAACACAATATTGACTTCTTTCTTTTAACATATTATCTCCAAGTACATTTGTTTAAAGTCCTACACTTCCAATAAAAATACTTTCACTCAGTTTATTGTTTTTATAAATTTAGTTGGTGATTATAAAAATCACATGCAAAATATTTGATGAAACGTACAGTACTTATTTAAAGTTAAAAGACCGTCACTCAGACAAGTATGTAGTTATTTAGTGGGAGGTATTTTTTTCAAACCCCAAATTAAAAGCTCAAAGTGTTGATTGCCCATGAAAAAATTATAATTTATCGATGTTCAATAACGATGAACAATGGCTCATTAGATCACCCTCGGGGTCTGAGGGTGCCTCGTGGAACATCTGGTGCGATTAGAGCTCAACCTTCGCAGGTGTTTTGGATAAACTATTGTTGTGATGTAGTGTAAGGATAAACAAAGCTTCCTTGCTTAGTGATACAGATTTCAGCTAAGTAATATTATCTTTTATAGTAGAAAAAGCTTCCGTTGAAGAAGTATTGAAGCTTTCTTTTAGGTAAAAACATTTAGTAACCCTAAATTTTACAATGTTCTTGGATA